CATTCAACAGAATTCTCAGTTGAGGAGAAATAATACACTTGCTCCTATTTTCCATTAGTGAAGTTTTAGCTGAGTCTGTCAATATTCAACCCTGGGCTCCAAGCACAGGGCAAGTTGATGATAGCGAAACCTTCAGTTTTCCCCTTGCCAAGTGCCAGGGAAGATTATCTTGAGAAGATCCATCATCTTAAATTTCTTTTTAATCTTAAGGACCTACAGATTCCTTAAGAGGCCAATAGATGATGGGGTCACAGGATACAAGAATCAGAAAACAGTAACAGGATGGGTGTGTAGTGATTTTTTTTCCTTCCAAAGTCCGAACAAAACATCTATGTGAGCTGAGTTGAAATCATGCAAGAGTTGTGGCAACTGTTCAGGCCCGATTAGTAACAGGGTGCCCCTATCCCTGTAAGAGTCCTCCACAGCAGCTGTGCATTACTTTATCAACCCCTAGCCGCACCCCCATTCCAGAGCAGTTCCTTGCTTCATTAACTTTCAAAATTCACTGCTGTCCTTGAGTCCAACCTGTTCATTCCTCAGGACACAGAGAAGGAGACAGGAAACTTCCCCACACTGAGACTCTGTGAATACTGATAGCCAAGGGTGCTGTGGCTCCAGCTGCGAACATTCATTGAGGCTTTAGTGGCTCCCATGCAGTCCCAAAGGCTGCTGCTGCTGCTGCTACAGCACTGGGATCTGCAGAGTAAGAAGCATCCTGAGACACAGAACAGGGAAGCTGGGTTTCTGGTGATTGTGAGCCCTGCTTATCTTATCCCTTATTTTTCACCTTAATTTAGATGTGCTTAAAATAAATCACAGCATAACAATGGGGAAAAATTCACAGGGAACAGGAAGGCTCCTCATTCCTAGGGGACTCAGGGACAAATGTAGACAGATCTGAAGTGAAAGTCACAACACTGGCTCTTCCCATTTCCTGGACTCATAGATCAGCTTCCTAGGTTTTTACTGTGTCACTTAGTTTTGGGTTTTTTTTAAGTTTGTTTGTTTGGTTTTTTTTTTTTTTTTGGCAGCACCTGGAAATACTCAGTTATTTCTTGCCTTGCACTAAGGACCCACTCACTCCTGGGATTGATAGGGATTATAAGGGATCACTTGATCGCTTGACTTCCCGTTACTCCTCGATTTGCACAAGCGGGCACCAGTAACGTCTCCATTCATCCCTGTCACGTGCTAGTGTAGCCCAATGGCGTCTGTTCATCCTAGGAACACGAAGAGCCTCAAACCAATTGTTCAGGGTCTTGATGAAGAAGTCTGACCATCTCGTAGGTGGCCTGCCACACAGTCTTTTGATGTCCCGTGGAATCCAGTAAGTAATGGCTCTAGTCCAGCAGTCGTCTCCAAATCTTATTATGTGACCAGCCCATCTGATTTTTGACACCTTGGCAAACAAGACAGCGTCCCTGATTCTTGACCTTCGACAGAAGTCAGAACTCCAGATTCTTTCTCTCATTTGAGTGAAACATGATACTTCAAGCATAGCTCTTTCCATTCCTCTTTGAGAGACCCGGATAGCGTTCTCATCCTGTTTGCGTAGGGCCCAGGTCTCTGAGGTTTATGTTAATGCAGGAAGAACAGTGGAACATGAGAGGTATGCCTGGAGCTGGAGGTTCTTCGTCCTTTTAGCTGTTTCTTCGACGTTCTTGAAGGTGTTCCAAGCCACTGTCTTCCTCCTGCGCAACTCAAGTGCCAGGTCATTTGTCATGTTGACTTCTGGACCTAGGTACACATAACTGTTGCAATGGGAGATGGTCATTTGTTGAGAGACAATGGAACATCAGGAATGAGACTGTTTCTCATAAACATTGTCTTCATGAGATTCAGCTGGAGTCCGACCTTTCCACATTCATGGTTGAAGTTGGCCAGCATTTGTGCCTCTTGGGTAATGTTTGGTGTTATTATAATGATGTCATCAGCAAAGCGGAGGTGGTATAGTTGCCGACGGTCTATCTTCACTTCCATTCCTTCCCATTCTAGTCATCACATGACGTTCTCGAGGTTGGCACTGAAGAGTTTCGGTGAAATGATATCACCCTGCCGAACCCCTGTCTTGACATTGATGATCACTTCTTTGTAGAATGGTGAGATCCTGGTACTGAATCCATAATACAGCTCATGGAGGATCCTGATGTATTGAGTTTGAATGCCCTGATTGGCTAGGGCTTCGATGACCACTTCCATCTCAACAGAATCAAAGGCCTTCTTTAAATCAGTGAACATTAGACAGAGCAGCATCTTGAACTCCCGAGAAACCTTAATGAGTTTGGTTACTGTGTGGATATGGTGGATCGTGCTGAATCCTTTTCAGAACCCGGCTTGCTCGCATGGTTGTCCTTCACCTAGTGTTCTGCCAATCCTATTCAGGATGACTCAAGTGAACAGCTTGTAGATGATAGACAATAGGCACATCAGGTGATAGTTGCCAATGTCTTGGGTGTCTTCTTTCTTGTACAGTATTACAGTCATAAGGGATACCAGGGATCAAACCTAGGGTTGTTTGGGTTCAAGGCAAACTACTTCAAGCTGTATTTTGGCTTCGGCCCCTTCACTTTGTTTTATTGATTGCTGGGGAGTAAAGGTGTTGCTCCTACGGAGTCCCCACCCAGTCAGAAGGTGAACTTACACATGTGGCAAATAGGACTTTGAATCCCACAACAGTTTCACTTCTGATCTGGACCAGTTCGATTAAAGTTCTTGTTGATTCCTCAATGAAAAGAAGCTGCTAAGGAAACTGACTATAAAAATGTGAGTGTTTGGGATAGTGAGTGAAAATGTAAGGCCAAGGTTGGCTCAGTGAGCCTAAGGCTTGTGTGTGTGGGGGAGGGAGGGGGGCGTGGAAGGAGGGAGATATGGAGAGACAGACAGATGGAAAGATAGACAAAGAATAGATAGACACAGAGTCAAAGACAGCGATAGAAAGGGATAAACATAGAACAACTAGAAGTTATGATATCTTCTATCTCCTTCTTGGGATCCCTCCATCAGCACCAAGAAGAAACAGCAAAAGAATATTATCTTGTTTTTTGCTTTTTTTTTTTTATGGTCACATCTCGTGATGCACAGGGGTTACTCCTGACTCTGCACTCATGAATTACCCTTGGTGGTGCTTAGAGGACCATATGGGATGCTAGGAATTGAACCCGGATTGGCCGTGTGCAAAGCAAATACCCTACCCACTGTGCTATTGCTCCAGCATCAAGAATATTATCTTGATAATATTCAGGACTATGTGTTAGATTTAATGAACATTTTTTATTAGTGAAACACCATGAGGTACATTTGTAGACTTATATATTTTTGTGTTTGGGTTTCAGTTATATAATGATCAAGTACCCATCCCTCCACCAGTGCCCATTCTCCACCACCAATGAACCCAGTAGCCCTCCCACACTTCCATTTCCCCTCACCCCGCCCCACCTCTATGGCAGGGCATTCCCTTTTGATCTCTCTCTTCTAAACATATATTTTAAAATAAGTTTCTATAATATATCTCTCCCTAGGCTGTAATCTAGTGTTTTGAAAAAAGATGATTTTGATGTTGCTGCGTAAATAAATATGTTAAGAGAAACTGTCTGCATATAATTATCTTTGTCAACCCTTAAAATTGTCTATAACATAAAGGCCATTTTCTCAGGGCCATGTCATATATTATTATTTGAATTTTCATATATCTATAATAAATGTTGTTGATTTTTTCACATATATGGGGAATAGTGTCTTTGAGAAGTATTTATACAGTCATTTTGGTCATTTAAACCTGCTTACTAACGTGGTATACTACATTTATAATTTGCTTATGTAAAAAATTCTCACTGTCTCTGAGGTGAGACTCACTTGGTAATAATAAATGAAGTTCTTGACATGTGGTTAGATGCTATTACCACGACTTTTTTGTTTGTTTTAACGTAATGTAATTTCATTAAAAAGAAAAGATAGAAAGAGAACCATGCTAAAAATAGACTTTGAGGTTCTTCAGAGGACCAAGAGCCCTGAATGACTTTTCGGTAGAGATTATATATGAATATTCTACACAGTGCCTTGGCTGGAAATTCTAGGCCCATGTAAACACTGTCAGGAATTGTCAAAAAGGAATAGTTTTGAACTTCTGGTGCTTTCATTACATTGCCATTGATTTTTTATTTTGATTTTTGTCTTTGAAAATGAAGGATTATTTCTGGCTCTGCATTCAGGGATCACTCCTGGCAGAGAAAATTTCTTTCATTCATTTTATTCATACACTGGTGAAGTCGTTTGATTCTGAGCTCTTCTTAGAGAATCTTGCAACTGAGGGTTCATTTTCTCTGTTTCTTCAGCAGCTCTGATCTCAAGCTTCTTTTTTTCTTCCCTCAAATCAGGGAGGAAAAAAGAATGGACATTTCCCTTGTCTATTGATTTACATTCTTACTCTTGAGTAATTTCCTTGGCTTCATTGAACTGATGTTTTATTCTTTACAAGTACAGGTAGATACAATACAAAGAGGGATTTTATTAGTCAAATATGACTCCACTGAAAATTCTTCATTGACAGTCCTAATTCCTAAGTGTTGCTACTAGTACAAGCAATTTATCAGAAACAAAGTATTCCTTTATGTTTAGTACAGTGTTAAATTATTTTAAATGCTTCCTAATATTGTTTCTGTTCTGCTATATTTGTGTGAAGAATAGCATCTGGTTTCTCTCTATGATTTCATCCAGAAAAAATATCTATGGTTATGGTGTGTTCTCTTTGTGAACTGCCAGTTACACCAACAACTATGAAATGCATAAAACTAGTTACAATGAGGCACTAGATTTAAATATTCAAAATTTAATGTATTCTAAAAATCTTGTGATAGTAATACTGTATTCCACACCCAAACCAGGCTTTGAAAGTGTCAGTCCCATCACACACAGTTGACATGTATTTCCATCACTTAGAGATAAATTCCATCTGCTTTATCTCTTCCTCTATATTCAATATAAAAGAATTCCAAGGAAAAACCATGGCCTCGGGCACAGCTAAGACCATGAGGAATGAAGCCACCTGCCCCATTTGCCTGGACCTGATGACTGAGCCAGTGATGATATACTGTGGGCACATCTACTGCCGTTCTTGCATGATGCAAAATCTTGAGAACCAGCAACTGAAGTCACCTTCTCGGAGAAACTTCCCGTGTCCTCTATGTAGGACACAGTTTCAAAGGAAGAGCATCCGGCCCAGTAAGCAGCTAGAAAGCATCATTAATACAATTAAGATGGAGCAGGAACATTTGTGTGAAGAACATGGAGAGAAGATCTGCCTGTTCTGTGAAGATGATGGTCAGTTCATCTGCTGGTTTTGTGAACGAACACCACAGCACAAAGGGCACACCACGGTCCTTGCCTGTCACGGCTACAAGGTGAGTACTGTCCAGAGTGCTTCACCAAGTACCCGTTCCTCTTTTGCATCAGTGGACCTGAAATAGTTTAATCTGAAATCCAAGATGATGTTATAGTTTTCATCACTTTAGTCTTCGAATAAGCTTTATAATGGCTATCCATATAATATATACATATATATGCATATTAATGCATATACATACAGTAGCACTGTAGCACTGTCCTCCTGTTGTTCATTGATTTGCTTGAGCAGGCACCAGTAACGTACTGTTTTTGGCATATCAAATACATCATGGGTAGCTTGCAGGCTTTGCAATGTACACAGTATTCTCATAATTTCCATGGACATTGATATCTGTAAAACATTTGCTCATTGTAAAACAACAGTGTTTTATGAAAAATGTCATAAATCCCTTGATAGTTCTGAACAACTGATATATATATATATATATATATACTAACTTTATAGAGCTAGAAGACTGATTACTCCTTTTAAGATAGACAATTTTAATCTTAAAAGTGTGCTCTGAAAATCAGAGAAGGTATTTTTAAAAGATACTTTAAAGTTTGAAGCTTGAATACTTTATGTAAATAATTTAAAATTGCTTGCATAGTGACTTTTTCATTAGATATTACAGCTTTTCCCTCTCCCTTTCTATTTTTGTCAAGAGTGTTTTTCTAGCTGTTTTAGTGATCCAGGTGCAAGGGCCCTTCGTGCTGTGTACCACCAGGTCCATACCTGGCCATATTCAGGAATACCAGTTTCATAACTGTTGGCACTCAGAGAAAATACAGTTCTGGAGATCAAGTTGAGATTCCTGATCACAGCATGTTCTCTATCTCATTGACCCTCATTTGTCCCTTTGAATCTTCCATTTGGGTTTGTATTTAGGGACCATACCCACAGGTGCCCAGGGTTTCTCCTGACTCTATGCTTAGGGTCCATTTCTGGCTGGGCTTGGGGAACCAAAGTCAGGATCTGACCAGGGTTGCTCTTACAAGGCAAACACCTTTACCCCTGAACTATCTCTCCATTTGTCCCTGGCCTCTTTTGAAAAACATTACTGGTACCTGTCCAACACTTACTTATACATAGTAAGACTTATGTATTACTTTATAGTACTAATAAAAATGTCAAGATGTTAATCTTTTGGTTTTTAGAATTAACACATTATTATATAAAATTATTTTATTCTTTTTCTTTGTATAATATTCACTGGGGAAAATTTAGCATTGTATACATTAGGCCATAGTTCAATAGAAGAACCTGTTTTTAAAATAGAAAAGTCATATTAATAACCTTACCAATTCTTCAGATTGTTCAGGAGATGAAAACTTTGTAAAATGTTTATTGAATTACCATGAGATACACAGTTACAAAGGTTTTCATGATTGTGTTCAGCCTTACAATGTTCCAACACCCATCCCTTTCACTGGTGTACATTTCCTGCCACCAACATTGCCAGTTTCCCTACTGATGCCTTCCCACCCCTCACCTACCAGCCAACCTCTATGCAGACACTCCACTCTGGGGAGATCAAATTTTTCACTTCATAGTCAGTATCCTGTAAAGTATAAGGACTATAAAAATGTCCAATATAATTTTATGTTTGGAAGTATATTATCTCTCCTGAGATACATGATGAAAAATTACTCAATTAATAAGTCATCATCAAACAATTTTTTCTTTAGGACAACTTCCAGAAAACTTTGACATACCTTAGGAAGCAAGAAGACCAAAATAAGGAATGGCAAGGGAACATACGAGAGAAAATAAGAAATTTTCAGGTAAAAATTTGAATTTATTGACCTCAAATATATTTCCTCTAGAGCTTAGACCTATAGGAGAATTTGGCAAAACAAAAGGATGTTTCATCTCATTAATCTACACTAAATATATAAATCCCAAATTATTTGTTTTAATATTCCATTTTGGCTACAAATAAGAGAGTTAAGCTCTTGTTCCTTTGGCATTTCAGCAGTAATTGTTGAGGAGTCCTAATATCAGTTAGGAGAAGTGGTGTCCTTACTTAGATTCATATTGACTGATTTATACATTTTAACCACCTCAAAGTACCTTCCTGTTTGAAGCTTAGAGCTGCCACTGTGAGAAATTTGCCACAATGCTAGATCTGGTATGTAATTTGCATCTCCAAAAGTAATCTTTGTGAAGAAGAGGATCTTTCCAGGTGGGAGTAATATTCAAAAAATTCATGAAGAGTAGCAATAAATGGTGCAAGAACAACTTCAATGGCAGACAAAGGTGTATTTCTATGATTGAACAGACTGCACAGGAAGTAACTCAGTGCTTTTTTGGCTACATTGATGTATTCCAAAAGTCTATACTCAAATTTTACAAGTAACTGGATTTTGAGATTTTCTTTCTTTTTGTATTGAATCACTGTGAGATAGTTACAGACTTGCAAACTTTCATGATTACATTACAGTCATACAACGATTGAGCACCCATCCCACCACTAGTGCTCGTTCTCCACCACCAATATTCCCAGTATCCTTCCCCCCACCCCCACCCCTTTCCATACCTGCCTCTGTGGTACTCATATTCCCTATAACTCTCTCTCTTTCATTTTGGTTGCTATGGTTTGCAATATAGGTACTAATAGACCATCGTGTTAGATCTACTTTCAGCACACATCTCCCATGCTGATTGATCCCTTCCACCATCATTTACTTGGTGGTCCCTTCTCTAATCCAGCTACCTTTTCTCCAGCATTTGAGACCGGCTTCCAAGCCATGCAATCCTTCTGGCCCTTAACTCTACAGTTCTTAGGTGTTAGTCTCCAATTATGTTACTTTATATTTCACAAATGAGTGCAGTCATTCTATGTCTGTCCCTCTCTTTCTGACTCATTTCACTTCGCATGATACTCTCCAGGTCCATCCACTTATAAGCAAATTTCATGACTTAATCTTTCCTAACAGCTGCATAGTATTCCACTGTGTAGATGGACCAAAGTTTCTTTAACTGATCATCTGTTCACCAGCATTCGGGTTTTTTTTTCTTCTCAGATTCTGGTTATTGTAAACAGTGCTGCAATACACATATATAGATGTTATTTCTACTTTATTTTTTGCATTTCTGGGATATATTCCCAAAGTAGTATTGTTGGGTCATATGGGAGCTCTATTTCTAGTTTTTGGACTAATGTCCATATTGTTTGCCATAAGGAAGGACCAGTTGGCATTTCCACCAACAATGAAGGAGACTCCCTTTCTCCCTGCAGCCACGCCAGCACTGGTTGTTCTTGTTCTTTTAGATGTGCCAGTTTTTGTGGTGTAAAATGATATTTTATTGTTGTTTCTATTTGCATCTCCCCAATTATTAGCGATGTAGAGCATTTTTTCATGTGCCTTTTGGCCATTCGAATTTCATTTTGTGAGGAAGTTTTTGTTCATTTCTTCTCCCCATTTTTTGATGGAATTGGACGTTTTTTCCTTTTAAAGTTCTACTAGTGTCCTCGATATTAAACCCCAATCTGTTGCATATTGGTTGAACCATTTCTCCCATTCAGCGGGCTCTTTCTGTATTTTTAAAATTTTTTCTTATATTTATATATTGGATCACTGTCGGAAAAGTTACAAAACTTTCAGGTTTAAGTCTCGGTCATACAATGATCAAACACCTTTCCCTTCACCAGTACTTATTTTTCATCACCAAGAACCCCACTATATCCCCTTCCCAACTCTCCCAATGCCTGTGAGGCAGATGATTTCTACTTAACTCTCTCTCTCTACTTTGACTACATTCATTATTTCAACAAAAGATGCACCATTGTTGTTTGGAATTTCCCCCCAACAATCAGAATTGCTGAAAAAGCATTGTGAAATAATTTGATTTCTATAGATGGTTATGAGAACCATATGATGTACGTGGCCTCTTTGTGGCTGTGCGATTTGGGGTTTCTGATATTTTACTAGGTAAGTCTGGAGGGATTTCTGCAAAGAGCCAGAATAACTACGAGATTGCTTTCTGTGCATCTGGTGTTATGGCCATGCTGGAGAGCCGCTCGTGGGGGCCAACTCATGACCTCGGTAGGGCATGAAGGACGAGCTGGTACCGACCCTCTTCCCATGAGACTGCAGTTGCCCCATCACTGCCGGCTCATACCTCGCTTTCCAATAAGCTCTGAGGTGGCAGCCACCTTGCTGCTGGGGGGTGGGGGGTGGGGAAGGAGAGGCAGAAAGGGCAGAAAGGAGCAACACCCTTTCCCTCCCAGGGAGGCATGGCGCTGTAGCTTAATGAATGGTCCATTCACTTTTCTGCTGCAAGCTGCCAGGCTCTGGATTAAGTCCTTTTGCCTCTGTAGCCAGGGCCCTGCCTGAGAGTCGCTCGTGTGGGGCAACTCATGACCTCAGTAGGGCATGAAGGACAAGCCAGTACCACCCCTCTTCCCATGAGATGAAATTCTGAAGTTTTAACACTTAAATCTGGAGGGATTTCTGCCAAAACCTGCTGGGTATACTATACTTGAGAGGTTGTGTCAGAATATTCAACTCTGTTCCATTGATATTAAGGTCTTTTTCAAATCCAAATACCATGCTGTTTTAATTACTACTGCTAAGCCAGAGGTGGTTTGTGGTTGTGTCTCCCACATACATAACTTTTGGCCTTTTAACTTCTTGGTAAACTTTGCCCCAAGTTTTTGGGGTCTGGCCAATTAGTCTCCAATTATGCTACAGCAGCAATTTTGGGGTTTCTGGAAGTCTGATGCAGTACCAAGCTGCTGATGCACTCGCCTCACAGGTAAAGATTGACCTGCTGGTGGCACCATGAACCCCTCTTTCTGTATTCTTGGTCACTGTTTCTTTTTGTTCAGAAGCTTCTCAGTTTAATGTAGTTCCATTTGTTTATATTTGTTCCCAATTGTTTGGGCAGTGGTGTTTCATCCTTGAAGATGTCTTTAGCCTCAATATCATGGAGTATTATGCTATATTTATCTCCATGTACCGTATGGATTCAATTATGATATTTAATCCATTTGGATGTGACTTTTGTGCTTGACAGTAGACAGAAGCCAAGTTCTATTTTTTGCATGTAGTTGTCCAGCTTTCCCAGCACCGCTTGTTGAAGAGGCTTTCCTTGCTCCACTTTACAATTCTTGCTCCTTTCTCAAAGATTAAGTGATAGTATACTTGAGAGGTTGTGTCAGAATATTCAACTCTGTTCCATTGATACTCAGGTCTTTTTCAAATCCAAATACCATGCTGTTTTAATTACTACTGCTTTGTAGCACAGTTTGAAATTGGGAAAGTTGACGCCACCCATCTTCTTTTTCCCAAGGTTTGCTTTAGTTATTCGTGGGGGTTTCTTGCTCCATATGAACTTCAGGAGTGTTTTGTCTATTTGAAAAATATCATGGGTATTCTCATAGGGACTGCATTAAATCTGTATAATGCTTTGGAGCATATTGCCATTTTGACAATGTTAATCCTCCAGATCCACGAGCCGGAGATATGTCTTTATTTCCTAATGTCCTCTTTTATTTATGGAAGTAGTGTTTTGTAGTTTTCTTTGTATAAGCCTGTCACCTATTAGTTAAACTGATTCCAAGGTACTTGATTTTCTGAGGCACTATTGTGAACAAGATTGTTTTTTTAATATCTCTTCTCTTTCATTCTTTGTAGATAGGAAAGCCAGGGACTTTTGGGTTTTGATTTTGTAACCTGTCACTTTACAACCTATTGTTTCTAAGAGTTTTTTGATAGAGACTTTAAGTTTCTCCAAGTATAGTATCATATCGTCAGTTAATAGTAATAGCTTGACCTCTTCCTTTCCTATCTGGATGCCCTTGGTACCTTTTTTTTGTCTAACTGCTACAGCAAGTACTTCCAATAGTATATTGGACGTGGTAAGAGTGGGATAAGTACTTCCAATAGTATAATAGACATGGTAAGAGTGGGAAACATTATGTTTTTCCAGATCTTAAAGGGAAGGTTTTTAGTTTTTCCCCATTGAGAATAATGTTTGCCATGGGCTTGTAGTAGATAGATGGCTTTGAATATATTGAGGAAAGATCCTTCAACTCCCGTTTTGCTGAGAGTTTTTGTTATTTTGTTACAAGAAATGAGTACTGTATCTTGTCAAATGCCTTTAATGAATCTATTCATATGTTCATATGGTTTTTATCTTTACTTTTATTTATATGCTGGATTATGTGGATTGACTTGCAAATGTTAAACCATCCTTACATGCCTGGGATGAATTCTTGGTTGTGGTGTATGATCTTTTTTTATAAGTCGTTGGATTCTATTTGTTAGTATTTTGTTGAGGATCTTTGCATTTGTATTCATCAGTGAGATCAACCTGTAATTCTCTTTTCTTGTCATGTCTCTGTCTGCTTTTGGTATGAGGGTGATGTTTGCCTCATTGAAATTGTTTGGAAGCGTTTCTGTTTATTCAATTTCTTGGAAAAGTTTGAACAGGATGGGGAGTGGGTCCTCTTTGAAGCTTTGGAAGAATTCACTAGTGAATCCATTTGGATGAGGGCTTCTTTTTTGGGTACACTTTTGATTATTATTTTAATTTCCTTAATAATGATAGGTCTGTTCAGGTATTCCGAGTCTTCTTGAGTCAGTTTTGGGAGATTATTAAAATCCAGGAATTTATCCATTTCTTCCTGATGTACAAATCCTTTTATCATTAAGAAATGGCCTTAACTGTCTCTTGTAAACTTCTTCAGTCTGAATTCTATGTGATCTGATACTAGTATGGCCACACCAGATTTTTTGAGGGAATTGTTTGTTTGTAGAATTGTTTTCCATTCTTTCACTTGGAATTTGTGTTTTCTCTAACTTTTCAGATGTATTTCTTGCATGCTGCAGAATGTTGGGTTCAATATTCTGTTCCATCTTGTTATTCTTTGTCTTTTAATTGGTGTATTTAGCCCATTGACATTGAGACTTATTATTATTATGGGGTTTTGTCCCATCTTTCTGCCAAAATTGGTGTATATGTGGGGCTTGTCTTATTTTAAATTAGCACATCTAGTTGCTCTTTTAAACATGACTTTGAAGCTATCAAGTTTTTGTGTTGCTGTTTGTCTGTGAAGCTGTGTGTTCCTTTTGATATGAATGAGAATCTAGCTGGGTAAAGTATTCTTGGTGGCATTTATTTCATTGAGTTTTATCACTATATCCCACCACTCTCTGCTGGTCCTTAGTATTCATAAGATGGGTCTGCTGCGAATCTTAAGAATAGTCCTTTATAAGAACATTTTTTCTTTGATCTTTCTACTTTCAGAATTTTATCTCCATCTATGGGTTTCATCATCTTGATAAGGATATTTCTGGGAGTATTTAATTTATATTTCTTTTAGCTGGTATGCTTCAAGCCTCCTGAGTATGTTTGCATGTGCTCTTCAGCTCTGAGAATGTTTCAGCAATTATGTGTTTGCCAGTTTCTTCTTCCTCAGGGTTTTCTTCCTGTCCTTCTGGGACTCCAATGATTTTTATGTTATTCCTCTTGGTTTCATCCCGACTTTCTCTTGACATTTGTTGTTTTATTTTGAGGTTCTCTTCTATTTTCTGCTGTTTTCTGGAGATTCTCTGCACCTCATCTTGGAGCTTACTGATTCTGTCCTCTGCAGCTGTTACTCTGTTGCTGAGCCCTTTCACTGAGTATTTTGTTTAACCTACCAATATTTTTTAGGTCTGCTATTTCTGCTTGTATTTTCATTTTCTTTTTCCTCACTTCTACTCTTATATCCTCTTAACTTTATCAGAAGTGCCTTCCATTGCTTCTTTGAGCTTCTATACAACCTTAAAAGCTCCATTTTAAATTACTTATCTGAGAGGTTATGTAGTTCATTGTTACTGTTCAATTCATCTGTGCTAGCAACTTCAATCATTAAGCCTGGTAAGTTTCTGCATTTTTTTTATCATTGTGACCTTTTCGTTTTTGAGTTTTGTTCCATGTTATTTTATGTTTTTGAGTCTGGAATAGAGCTAACTTTGTGTGTTACCATGGCTTGTTGATAGGTAAAGATATGTGAGGCCTGGATTAACAAGTGCCTAGCATGTGGGGTGTAATTTCTTTGTCTGCATGGTTCTGTGGTTAGAGACTTTTAAGGTATGCTGTGAAGGATAGGTGCAGGGAGGAAAAGCTGTGGGTGATCACAGCTCTTGGAGGAGTGAGTTCCATGTACTGGGGGGTGGTGGCTGGCAGGGGAGTGTGGTACCAAGTGAGAACCTGGGGACAGGGCTCTGGCCTTTTGAGGTTTTCATTTCAATTCTCTCACGTGAAATCTTTGTGTGAATTCTGAATTTGGACTCACAAAAAATATTCTTTTTTTTCTCAGTATAACAGTCATGGGTAGTGGGAGGTCAAGAATTTTAAGTCACATATAGAGAAACCAAATCTCTGAGAATTAACCTTCTTGTTTTCAATAAATGTTTTATTTAATTCTAAGTGAATGGAACTAAAATATTTTGAATATTTATTCATCTAAAGATAAAATTATCCCATCTTTGGAACATGCTTTCTTCATTATAGTCTGAAATTCTGGATAAAAAATATTGCATCGAGTATAGCTTTAAGGTTTTTCACATGATCCTACACATGGAGGAGAAATCTTATCTATGGAGACTGGAGAATGAAGAACAGCAAATTCTGAGGAGACTGCATGACAGTGAAGCCCAGTTGCAGAAGCAAAGCCAGGAACTGAACAAAATCATACTGGAACTGGAGAGGAAATGTCTGGACTCAGCCCAGGAGTTACTACAGGTGAGACTGTGAATGTGGAGGGATGGATGAAGGTGTCAGTTACTGGGGTTTCAGAGGAAATGGTGAGGAATTTGGAGAAATGTCTTGAATACGTCTTTCTGAAAAATATAAACAAGTATAGAGAATTTAAATGAGTGTTTGCTTTTAGATACACGTACCTGTATACAGATGTCTTCCACTAGTCTGTAGAGTGTTCCTGGGTAAATCAAGGAGCACAGAAGAGGCTCCTTGGATATATATGACAGTTTTAGGAAACCATGGGAGAACTTTTGTAGCATCTGTTAGCCTCAGTATAATTTGCAGAGATTCCTGGTGTCAAATGATCTCCTCAAAGATATTCCTGTGGACTGCTGGGGACAAAATAGGTCATAAAAATCTTTGATAAACTTACTTCTTGATTTGCTCCTGGATCTTGCTCAAACAGATATTATGTGGCTTGATTTTAGCTATGGTAAGGATATTGAACACTGGAACTCCTTATTTTATTCTCATTAAGGATTGAGGTGGCATAGCAAGACCTTCCACTTTGATGCAAACCTGTGGCCACCACCTTAGTGAGTCAGTCTCTGGGGATCTATGTTAATTCACCTGTAAGGACCTTTGTGAAGAAATAATGTCCACTATGACCTCTTCAGAAGAAATGAGGTCACTGAATGCAGAAAGTGTTGAGTGAGCAAGTTTGAGATAATTGCCATCTTCCCTCAAACAGATCACATCTGGTTGTCGAAATAATAAATCCTTGTGTTTCAAAAAATAAGAAAACATGCTCTAAGGTTGATCAGATAATGTCATGGTAATATAATGGCCATTGTTTCTCACAAAAGCTATGCATGTACTGGTTAAGGTAAACAAGGGTAGAGAGATTGACTATCAATAATCTATCACAGTGTTTATAACTGCTGGTCTGTGAAATGATATGCAATTGGGTGTTGGACCATGGTGTAAATAGGTTGAATATCGCTGTGCTAGGGAATAGGATAGGAATTATTCCCTAGAAATTCACTAATACATTGAGTAGAACCATTGCATTTACTCTTTGGCATAATTATAAACATACACCCATCAAAGTTTTACAAAATGCTAATTTTCCATACCAACATCTATCTTTCTTATTTTATAGGATTTGAGAGACATTTTGGACAGGTGAGTGCTCTTTGAATTCAGAAGGGAAAGATAGTAGCTATATGGTGCCTAATGGAATGTTGCTCTGATGAAATTTCTGGACTCTTCTTATCAGGGTTTCTGCTATGAAGTTAAGTGCACCGGAGGACGTCTCATTGGATATTCATGCTGTGCCTGACGTGGATAGCATTTTCTGTGAATTGATAAAATTGTTTGAGACTGATCATGGTATGTGACATGAAAATTTCCATAAATAATATAGGTGGTAGGAATATACTGGGCAACACATTGTACTACTCTCCCCCATACAGGTTCTAGGTAGAGTATTGGTTTTCTTGATTAGTCTTGAAGCTCTTTCTCTCTAGTTCACTAGTGATGTCCCCCAGGGAAATAAACTCTATATCTGTCCATATGAAAATCAAAGAATTACCACTTTCTTGTGGACTATGACAATTTAAAACAAATCATCAATTACACAAAATACAGAGAACAGGGTTGGAATCATAATGATTATACTTATGTCCTTTAATTCCCAGAGTAATTCCAGAAAGTTTGATGAAGACTGACTGTTCTGTCAGTGATATTGGGAATAGACCAAGTAGCACTATTGTTTCAACCATCTGAAAACCAAGTGCTACTTGGGAAAAATGTTGCTGTTTATTTCTTCATTCTTTCCATAATTACTTTAATTCAAAATATCCTGCAATTACATTTTTAAAAAAGATTTTGAAACAAAGATTTTTTCATGATGTGATGATCTATGAAATAAAAGCAGTTATGAAAAATTTCTTCATTAATTTAATGAGAATCTACTGGTTATCATGACACTTCAAGCTACCCGTGACGTATTTGATATGCCAAACACAGTAACAACAAGTCTCATGATGGAGACATTACTGGGCCCGCTCGAGCAAATCGATGAACAACGGGAAGACCGTGATCATGACCTACTGGTTATAAATTATGCAGTGTCAGGTCTTGCTTAGTGAGCAAGCAAGCAGGTCGAGTGTTTGTCTTGCATGCAGCCAACCCGGGTTTGATTCCGGCACACCATATGGTCCCCTGAGTTTGGGCAGGAGTTATCACTAGGTGCAGAATTAGGAGTAAGTCCTGTGCACAGTCAGGTGTGGCGCTAACCTGCCCCCTTTCCAAAAAGAAGAACACGAGAACTCACAAGATTTTGGTACTCTTACCACAGCTCAGAGGAATCATTGACCTGGATTCTAAAAATTACTGTGATAAATATAATTGCTGGACTGTGTTTTCACCTGGAAATCAGAAAAATCCACTACCAATCTCATTGTGATTGTTGGCAGAATTCACTTCTTGATGCCTATAGGACCTTAGGCACTAGCTCTTTGCTGGTTGCAGGCTGGATGCCTCCCTGTGTTTCCTGAAGAAAACTCAAATGCTTGCACATGAGTCTCCCAGAGTGGAGGACTGTTTCAACGAAGTGAGGTCAAAGAGCAAGAGTCTCTAGGATAAAACTGATGGCATCATTTACCTGACCATAATAAAATACAATAACAGACATGAACCTCCATCATTTTTACCATTTAGGAACAATGTAACTTGAACATTAAAGGTCTCTGGTCATAAAAGTAGTAATACAAAGTTTCTAACAACAAAGGGGGAAATATTAAAGTCATTATTAGTCTGATAGCCCCAGGCATAAAAACTAAATAGCTCTGTTTTGACAGCATTGTGTCCATGTGCTTAGAGTATAGAGACATTGCTCTGCAATTGTGAGAAAAAAGATGCTCTGAAGTCTAAGACATGCTTTGCAGCACCTGGTTGATGTGAGAAAATTTAATGATTCGATACTGTGAGAGGATTAAGCCATAACTGGGGTGATGATGGAGGTAGTTCCCTACTATATAAGAGCAAAGATTCTTGTAATTTAGACCTCCTCACTTACAGAGTGAGTTCTATATATCCTGTTTAATGTGTTTCTGCAGACATTGCTTCTCTACATTACCATAACAAGTGTTTAATCAGATTTATTGATAAGAACATTGCACCCTTTCTCTAGCTAAGATAAAACCATTACAGTATTTTCATTATGTATTACTATTTTCTCATAAATATTTGTCTTTTTAAAATTTTCTAACAAAAAAACTTAAAGTTATTTTAACTTCTTGTTTGGAGCTCATCGCATGACGTTCTCGAGGGTGGCACTGAAGAGTTTTGGTGAAATGGTATCACCCTGCTGAACCCCTCTCTTGACATGGATTATTACTTCCTTGTAGAATGGTGAGATCCTGGTAGTGAATCCGTAATACAGTTCATAGAGGATCCTGATTATTGAGTTTGAACGCCCTATTTGGCTAGGGTTTCAAAGACTGCTTCCGACTCAACAGAATCAAAGGCCTTCTTTAAATCAATGAACGTTAGACAGAGGGGCATCTTGAATTCCTGAGAAACCTCAATGAGCTTGGTTATTGTGTGGATATGGTCAATTGTGCTGAATCCTTTTCGGAATCTGGTTTGCTCTCATGGTTGTCTTTCATCTAGTGTTCTGCCAATCCAATTCAGGATGATTCCATTGAACAGCTTGTAGACGACAGACAACAGGCAGATCAGGTGATAATTGCCAATGTCATTGATGTCTCCCTTGTTGTACAGTAGTATAGACCTGCTGGCTTTCCACTAGGACAGAACCTTGCTTTCAGACAGGTAGCATGTGAAGAGCTGAGCCAGTGTATTGATGAGTACTGATGGCAAGTTCTTCAGTTGTTCGGGTCTGACCTTGTCTGGGGCAGGTGATGTTCGCTTCTTTACCAATGGAGTGGTGTGTTGGATTTTGGAAGGGAGAATGTTGGGAACGACATATCTATCCTGTGGAATTTGGTATGTGGGCAGGTAGACGTGGCTATCGAAGAGATCCGAGTAGAAGTCATGAATAATCTTCTCCATTGCCCTTCTGGAAGATGTGATAGATCCATCAGGATGTTGGAGGGCAGTCACCTTGGTCTTGTAGTTGGCAATGGACAGGTGGGTGTTGTGAATGCTTTTCCTGGCTTCTGCTGCATCTGCAAGCACTGCTGCTCTTCTCTCTTTGAGGTCTTCTTGATCACTTGTCTGTACTGCTCTGCAAGCTTGAACATTCACTTGTGGTTCCCTGAAGCTTGCGCCAAGCCACATTGGCGAATGCGCGCAAGAGTTTTTGAAGACAGGGTTTTTTTTCGTGGCTATCTTGACATTCCTCGCACACTCATGGAGGTGCTGAATCAGTCGATCATATTCCTCATTAATGACATCAAAAATGGCATCTTCCCATGTTGCTGCCATAGTGCCAAAGAGCTCCCAGTTGGTGTTCATTCTGGGAGTTCTCTTCTTAAACTTTGCACCCCTTTCTACCTGCTCCATGAAGTAGAATTTTGCATGAAGGAGATGTTGGTCCGATCCCATTTGGAATTTTGGGACAACAGTGACATCAGTCAGGCAAAACCACCGATTGAATGTGAAGTGGTCAATTTCATTGTTGAACCGTTCATTGAGAGACTCCCATGTCCAACGTTTAGATTCGGTCTTCTGAAACTGTGAGTTACCATGGTTGGCATGATGAACTCAGACAGTCTCTCAACTTCGTTCCATTCTAGGCCATGGACCCTGATGTAGAGTTCTTCAGCTGATCTTCTTTGGACTATCTTGGAATTAAAATCACTGAAAGTGATCATGTAGAAGGTGTGGTATTCTTTATAGAACTTCTCCAGGTCCATGTAGAACTTCTCAATTTCTCCTTCAATCACAATTGGATATTTGTGCATAGACAATGAAGATAGAAACTGCCAGCAGTGAGTCACATCTATTCAAGTAATCATCCAATTCGGGTTGTTAGGCATTCGAATGAATCAATGCTCATGGCCAAGTTCATGGTGGAATGTGAAGGAATGGGAGTGAAGATAGATGGTTGGCAACTACATCACCTCTGCTTTGCTGATGACATTGTTTTAATAACATCAAACATTAGCCAAGAGGCACAAATACTGGTGACTTCCACCGTGAGTGTGGAAATGTCAGACTACAGCTGAATCTCACGAAGACAATGTTTATGAGAAACGGTCTTGTTCCTGATGTTCCATTCACTCTCAACAGAATGAACATCTCCGAATGCAGCATTTATGTGTACCTAGGTCGAGAATTCAACATGATGAATGACCTGGCACCTGAGTTGCTCAGGAGGAAGAGAGAGGCTTCAAGAGCGCCAAAGAAATAGTTAAGAGGATGAAGAACCTCCAGCTCCAGGCACATCCCTTTGATTCCACTGTTCTTCCTGCAATAACATATGCCTCAGAGACCTGGGCCCTACGAAAACAGGACGAGAACGCTATTCGAGTCTCCCAAAGAGGAATCGAAAGAGCTATACTTGGAGTATCACATTTCACTCAAATGAGAGAAAGAATCCAGAGTTCCGACCTCCATCGATGGTCAAGAATCAGGGATGCTGTCTTGTTTGCTAAGGCGTCGAAAATCAGATGGGCTGGACACGTAATGAGACTTGGTGATGACCGCTGGACTGGAGCCGTTACTGACTGGATTCTATGGGACGTCAAAAGATCGTGTGGCCGCCCACCCACAAGATGGTCAGACTTCTTTGTAAAGAACCTAAATGATCAGTTTGAGGCTCTTTGTGTTCCTAGAATGAGCAGATGCCATGGGCTACACAAGCATGTGACAGGGACAAATGGCGATGTTACTGGCACCTGCCCAAGCAAATCGATGAGTAACAGAATGTCACGTGATTAAGAGTCAAGTTTGGAGCTCAGGTGCATCCTGTTGTGTGTATATAAATGCCACATTTTATTGATCCATTTTTCTATTCTTGGAAACTTGAATTATTTCCAATGTTCACTATTGTTACTAGAGCTGCAATGATCATAGAAGTGCAAATGTATTTTCTGAAGAGCTTTTGGGCCTTTGAGGTAGATGGCCAGAAGTGTTATGACTGTGTCATATAGAAGCTCAATTCTTGTTTTTTTTATAATTTGTTCATTTGCTAAAATGGTTGAAACAAGTGACCTTCTCAGATACAGTAGAATACTCTTTTTCTCCACATCCATGCCAATACTGGTTTTGTTCTTTTAGCTGTTTGTCAGTCTCACTGATGTGAGATGATATCTCTTTGCTAGTTTGGTATGAGTTTCTCTGACAGTGATGGGGAACATTTTCATATCAATGTTGTTCATCTGCATGACTGCTTTGAAGCAGTGTCTGTTCATCTTTCATTGATTCTACCCTTCCCTCCCACCTTTTTTTTTGTTTTTTTCTTTCATCTCCCCATTTTGGATGGATTTTCTCACAAGGTTTATTTTTTAATCATTCAAAGTATTCAAATTTATTCAATCATCTCCTGTTAAGAACTCATTGAGGAGAGTTTAATAAATGAATTAAACAAATTCAGAACAATGACTAAGCAACACTGAAACAACTAGAACTGAGATAGTCAGGGAGTCCTCACCATGCTGGTCCTCAAATACAGAGGAGGGATCTGAAGAACAGGCGAGTGTGACTTGAGAGAGAGAAGTGCAGACTCTCAGAGCACTGGCAAGAAGCTTTCTAGTAACTGACTGCCACTCCACCTCTTAGTTTCATACGTTCTCCCCAGCACTCTCATTGGCTAAGTAAAATGAAGTCAGGTAGAAGGAAGGAAGCTGGTTTCCTAGGAGTCAGAAAGACAAGGAATTAGAAGGTGGGGTGTGGTTTGGAGAAAAAAATGAGGATGAAGTGTTCCTACATTCTTTATTTCTCATGTCCTTCTGTTCATCTGCTCAGTGTTTAATCATGGACACATTAGGTAAATCAGTGGCTTAAATCTCTATCTAGAACAAACTCATGTCTTGTTTTTTAAATTGTGCTGTTAGCTAAGTACCATTATGGTCATTCTATTTCTTTCATTCTTACTTTACTAGATCATTTTTTGGTATATTTGTCCTTAGTAAATCATCTTTTACTAATGCTTGTCGTACATGCACAACCAAGCATTGTGGACACTTAAAGTTGATAAGTAGCCATGTGTCCTAATTACCCAATAACATCCTGTGTCTTCAATAACAAACTCTGGGATTAACAGTATCTACCCATTCTGATACTGTGTCAGTGTAATATGTAAAAAATAGGGAGGACTTTGGACAAGAGAATAAGTAAACATGTCAAATATACTTATCTTGTCTTTCGCTCATATTACTGTGAGAAAGGTGCAAATAATAATAAATAAGGACAGAATACTAGTAAGAACCTTCGTAGTATATTGCTGCTGCCACCTGATATTTTACAATGCCACATGATGGCAGTATTGCCTAGTTCTAAGTATGTATTAACTTTTCAATACTCCCCTTATTTGAGACAGATACAATTTTTTAAACTTTTTACAATGATTTTTCATAAAATAACTATTATTGTCAGAAAGAACTTTTTCTTTTGAGTACAGGCTGATAATATTTGAAAAATACTGAATGTTACACATAAAGTAACCATATTCTTTTTTTTTCTTCTTTTTTAATTTATTAACTTTTTTGCAGTGAAGGTGACTCTAGATCCAGATACAGCTCTCAGTGACCTACATGTGGATGAGGCTGAAAACATGGTGATTGGTGGAAGGCCCCAAGTGAAGCAGGACATCCCTACAAGGTTTAAAGACTTACCCTGTGTCCTGGGATGTGAGGCCTTCACCTCAGGAAAATATTATTTTGAAATGTATTTTACAGGAGGATCTGATTGGGATGTAGGAGTTTGTCTGGAAAATGTACAAAGAGACAATTTCATGATACGGGAGCCTGAGACTGGATTCTGGGCCATAAGACATTGTGAAAACAATGACAATGTAGCACTGACATCTCCCATAACTCCTCTTTTTCTGGATGACCTTACTTATATAGGGATTTTCCTAGACTATGAGGCAGGACTTGTATCCTTTTATAACTTGGAAACTGGCTCCCACATCTTCACTTTCCCAAAGACCTCTTTCCTTGAGCCTATCAGGCCTTATTTTTGTATTAGAAAAGATACACATTTGAACCCTCGTTACTAATATTTGTAAGAAATTTGTAAGAAAAATATTCGTAAGAATGATTTGTAAGAGAAAAATACAGTATCTTTATTCTTGTATCCAGTTTAAAGCAATAGGATTCAAATTCTGTGAATGTAGAAATTTTGGTTGCTTTCTTCACTGTTTCCATAACCTAGAATGATGCCAAGCATTAGTCAATACCTAACTGATTTGCTTAAATGATTGGATATAAAGACTTTCTGCAGGTACCACACATGACGAACCTGTTTAGAAGGAAATTCCTTAATAAAAAGACCATAAAGTGTCCTCTTGACCGCTCATCAGTAGATTCAGTTTTATGACGAAAATGCTTTGTATATGTTAATTCACATTAGTGATTTCTTCTTAGGACATAAAAACCTATCCTTTGAGCATAAAAGTGCTGAAACAATCCCATTCAATCTCCCTTGCAGTGTCTTGTGCAAATGTTGGGGAAATACAGTCAGGACTAAAGCAGTTAATTCCAGATCATAGGACAGGTTTATGCAACCCACAAGAGTAAATAGAAGCTGAAGGTCAGAAAAATAAAGAATACGAAAAGCTCTATTAGATACGGAATATTCATGTAAGACTGTGCACAGATTGCCCTCACTTGCGGGATATAAAAAAACAATACATAATATAAGGCTATAAAGCTAACAACATGGATAGTAGAAACAAGGGTCAAGAGGACTGTTCCATGCTTGAAAGCCTGCCATGAGTGTGTGTGTGTGTGTGTGTGTGTGTGTGTGTGTGTGTGTGGGCGGAAGGAGAGGATGTTAGGACAGAGGGGAGACCACCATGACAATGAGGTTAGAGATGATCACTCTGGACACAAATTAAGGGCTGAAAGGAGTCAAAGGGATATCTAAGATAACCCTTCAGTATCTGTAGTGCAGAAAATAATGCCCTAAGGAGGGGGCAGAAGAGAGAGAGAGAGAGAGAGAGGAATGAAAAAATGAAGAAAAGTAAAAGTTCCCATTGAAGAGGCAGACTGGGTGGGGTGGGGTGTGGCAGGAAGAAAACTGGGGACATTGGTGGTGGGAAATGTGCACTGGTGAAGGGATGAGTGTTGGAACATTGTATGACTGAAACCCAATCATGAACCACTTTGTAATTGTGTATCTCAAAGAAATTCAATAAGAAAAGTAAAGGATTAAATGTTAATGCATTAACATATGCCTCAGAGACCTGGGCCCTACAAAAACAGGATGAGGACACTATTAAGGGTCTCCCAAAGAGGAATCAAAAGAGCTATGCTTGGAGTATCACACTTCACTCAAATGAGAGAAAGAATTTGGAGTATCTACCTCCATCGATGATCAAGAATCAGGGACGCTGTCTCGTTTGTCAAGGCGACGAAAATCAGATGGGCTGGACATGGAATGAGGTTTGGAGACGACTGCTGGACAAGAGCCATTACCGACTGGATTCCATGGGATGCCAAAAGATCGCATGACCGCCCACCTATGAGATGGTCAGACTTCTTCATCAAGACCCTAAACAATCAGTTTGGGACTCTTTGTGTTCCTAGAATGAGCAGATAACAAGGGGCTACTCTAGCACACGACAGGGACAAATGGAGACATTACTGGTGCCTACTCGAGCAAGTCGATGAGTAATGGTATGTCAAGTGATCAAATGATCAAAGAATTAAATAAAGTGTATATATATGCTTAAGAATGAGTAGTATTGTTCCTAAGATAGCTTGGCAAAGTAATTGTACACTCTGAGTCAAAGTAGAGCATAAACAGAGAAAGAAGCATTTATAGCCAATTTCTAATTTATATAGCTGTGAGCTCACAATGTGAGTGTTTGACATGTTTGGTGGCTAGAGCCGCCTTCCTGGTCTCCTAAGCAGAAAAAGACAGAGGGACACAGACTGATGGTCAGGATGACCCGTTTAATGCAGGGCCTCTAAGAAACTTACACAATATCTGGAGGGGGTTGAAGTATAGGACTGCATGTAGGTGTGATCGATCATTTACAGATATGAAGCATTTCAGTGGGAGCCATTCTCTTGGGGGAATTTACTCAAGGAGACACTTTTCTTACAGGGACACCTATATTGCTTCTTCTTTCCTTTAGTTGAACACATTAAACAATTAAATTGTCTGCTTATTAATACTAGAAGTATTTGGGTAAACAAAGTAGGAGAATAGCTTCCAAAACTTAGTTCTCTTTGCTCCAAGGGCAAATCTGCTGTGCTTTGTCATAAGTCCCAGACTAGCTCCTCAGGCTGCTTCAGCTTGTTTTTCCCATTGGAGTTCCTGTTTCTTAAGCCTTAATGACTTGCATCAAGAATGTGTCTTTATGCTTTGTATACTGACCCTTTTTGATATCAGGGTTGCTTTTCTGCTCAGCCCAGGTCCATCCAAGTCCCTCGGTGGGACCTCCCTTTGTGGGGTATTAGAAACTATGGCAACCAAAATGTGAGTCAAGTAACTATAATGGATGCCTAGGAGTAGATATATTTGAGTCAGTCAAATCCTAGATATTAGGACCATAGCATTAACAGTCTTACTGTACTTAAGCTAAGAGCATTTTCTATAATAAAATGAAAAGTTATAGGGGAAATACAAAAGCAAGTTATTCACTTCAAACAGAAAGGAAGGATAAAGGCAACCTCAGGAGACAAGAGATGCTCACAAGAGCACTGTAAGCTTCTCTGGGAGGAGGAAAAGGAAATTCATTGATGAAGCCTAAAACACTTAGGGGTAATATCCAACACTTAGAGAAAGAGTGTGAATTAATAAGGGGCAGAGACGCAGATGCAGTTCTGCCTTGCTGTTGCCTCTTAGTACTACATCCTGCTGTCTCTAATTATTTTTCCTGTGTTCTGGTATCACTAAGATTCCAATTCCTACTAGACACTGCTCCTGCACTAAGGGAGGAAGTGGCAGAAAGAGCCCTAAGAGGACAGAGAGACTCTCCAGTATTCTGGCTTGGAAACAATATATCTCAGGACTTATAGTTTACATTCCGACTAAGCATGAATACAAGAGTCATCCCCCAGGATGCACACTTGAAAGGAAGGTTTTCATGGAATTGCCTCTGTTATCCTGAAGACGATCTCATTCTTACTTTGGACAACCTGGGAGGCTACCAAATGTAACCTGCCTACATGGCAGAGTCTGGCAAACTTCCCATGGAGAAACCAATATGCCAAGTACCAGTAGCAATGATGGGTCTCATTTTCCTAACCCTGAAAGAGTCTTGAATATGGCACTTTTTAAAATCTCAGGGCTAGGACGTAGGAGAAGTTACTAGTGCCTGCTCAAGGCAATTGACAAACTACAGGATGATCGTGATCATGATTGTGATCCTGAAGATCTTGAGGAATTTTCTTTGTTTTTCTTCTGAATGTCAGTTCAAATGATATTGGAAGAAGTTGAAAAACAGAAACCAATTGAGAGAGAGAGAAAGAGAGAGAGAGACAGAGAGACAGAGAGAGACAGAGACAGAGACATAAAGAGAGAGAGAGTCAGAGAAAGAAATAGAGAAAAAGAACAGGCCTGCTTCTGGAGCCACCTGTAACTCCCAGGGGAAGTGCCTGGAGAAAACGCTTGGTAACATCTGCCACAGCACCTGTATGCTATGGCTGTTTGCATAACACTAGTGCCACTACAAGGCAGCCATCAAAGTGCACACTAGGTTCACTTGGTCTCTGGATAGTTGACTCAGTCCCCACCACATGCCATCTTCAACATCATGCCTTCAAGTCTGACTGACAGATTTCTCTTTGCAGAAAAGTGAAAAAGCGCTGGTCTCCATTTAGGTTTCTGAGTTTGTTGTCGGCCCTCACACAAAAGAATTTCAAAAGGAGATAGATGATGTAGTGAGAGTAATGCACTCAAGAGCCAATGTGGGCTCTCCTGAGTGAAGAGATCAGAGAGACACAATCCAATTTAAGGGGCACGTGGATGTCAAGTCAATCTGGCTGACATGGCTTTCGTCCCAGTGACCACCAAGGTTGATTGGCTGATCTGGTTGGCAAGGTGAGAGTCCCCTTCCTCCCTCACCACTTCGTGCCATGCCTCCCGAAACTGCATGCTCAGTCAATGAGGATGGCCTTCCCCATAAGGAAAAGGACCATTCTTTGCTTGAGGATATACAAGTAGCTGCGTTTCCCTGCTAGAAACTCCAGTGAGCTTTTCCAAGTTTAGGTTCATACAGAACCAGAATGTTGGTTGTTTTAGCTAAGGAGGTCTTACAGGTTTTCATCTAACTTCATCAGCTTGCACTTTCTATGGAGATAAGAGTCTGTACCTAGGGTGTTGTTAAGGAAAGTACTTTGGACTGTTACTACTCTTTCAGATCCTTTTCACATACATCCATTTGTTCTTGGTTCCTGTGCAGACTCTCTTGAAGCATTCATGCCTTCTTTGGACTGGGGCTGGGGACAGATTTGGCCATCCTTTGTGTATCTCAAAGTATTTTCAGGCTTCTTCATGTTTTGCAGATTCTTTAGGCAGGTGACAGAATAACTTTAATCTGTATCTTGGTTTCATTCCCTTCAGAGATACTCCTTGCTCCCATGTCTCCTGCCTGCTTCAAATTATTTCATGATCGACTAAACACCAGGGATTATAATGCACATATTTCACAAATATCAGTGTCTGAGTCTGAATTCCAATGTCAAAGAAAAAATGTCCTCATACCTCTTATGACAGTGTGATATTACATTGTATAGACTTCACTTGTATATATTCATTCATCAATAGTTGAGCATTTGGATTGTTTCCAATTTAGGCTACCAAAAGTAATGCTGCCACAGCTTTCATCATTTTGTTGTAAGATATTTTCTATATTTTTTGAACATATATAATGGTAGAATTATTGTATCACAAGGTAATAACTTTGTTCAACATTTTAGGGAACTATAAACCTGCATTGCAAAATTTCTCATATCTGAGGTGATGCCAGAATCAGATGAAAGTTTCTAGGCACAAGCTCTGTATTCTGGAGCCAGAGTTCAATACACAGTACTGCCTAATTCCCTGAGCACCACCTTCAACCTGGAACAACCCTGATCATCATTGTGTTGCACACAAACACACACTGCAGCATTTTACATAGTCACAAGCAAGATGTGCAGTTCTAATTTCTCCCACCATTATTTCTTTAAGGAAAACTTCCATTAGATGTGAAATAGTATCTTTTTGTGTGTTCATTTTGATTTTTCCTTATGACTGTTGATAGGGGGAATATACTCTTCCTATGTATATTTGCACATAAACACAGATTGTTGCCAAACTGATCTCACATTCCAACCAGCAGGGCTGGCCTCTGAAAATGAGACAAACTGAGGACTGTCAAGGCAGTTTTTCCTAAAGGATATTCTTTGAGAAGTTTGTTCTACAGCAGTTCTGAATAGCTAATATTTCCCCAATTTTGATTCAGCCTGAGCTTCTGTGCCAGTAGGAATTTTTGTGCTGCAGCCCCAACTCCTGTGCAGGTCTGATGCCCAGGACAGGCCCCACAATCCTCACAGCAGCAACCACCAACAGGGAGCACCCACAGAAGTCAGGCAACTCTAGAATCCAGACTTGACTTCTGCACATTCCTCAGTTTCCCTACCAGGACCATGGGTCACTGTTCCTGTTTAGTATGGAAACTTGCATGTATACTGTTATAATGCCTCTTACAACTGAGCTTTGAAATATGGAAGAGCTTTATTTTCAGGCAGTCATCTATTTGTCTTCTCCATTCACAGTAACTCTCAGTTGACAAAAAATAATACACTTGCTCCTATTTTTTTATTAGTGAGACTTTAGTTGAGTCTCTCAATATTCCTCCATGGACCCCAAGCACAGGGCAGGCAGATGACAGCTACACCCTCAGATTTTCTCTGCAAGTGCCAGGAGAGACTATCTTGACAACATTTTTGATCTTAAGCTTTCTTTTAATCTGCAGTTTCTTCAGTTTCCTTAAGAGGTCAATAGAGAGGATCTGAGTGATAGTACAGTGGGTAAGGTATTTGTTTTGCAGTTGCTGACCCGGGTTCAATTCCTGGCATCCCATATGGTACCCCGAGCACTGCCAGAAGGGATTCCTGAGTCAGAGCCGTAAGTAACCCATGAGCACTGCAGGGTGTGACCAAAAAAGCCAAAATTAATAATAATAAAGAGGCCAATAGATGAACTACTCCCTGGATAGAGTCACAGGATACAAAAATCAGAAAAAAGTAACAGGAAATTGTGTAGTGAAAATATTTTCAAAAACCTTAAAAAATGGTCTATGGGAGCTGGGTGAAATGACCCAAGAGTTGTGGCAACTGTTTAGGCCGGGTTAGTAACCCCGGGTGCCCCTGTCCCTGTAAGAGTCTTCACAGCAGCTGTGCATTGCTTTACCCTCCCCTAACTGGACTCCGATACCAGAGCAGAACTTTGTTTAATAAACTTTCATTACTCAGCATTGTCCTTGAGTCCAACCTATTTATTCCTCAGGACACCGACAGAGATACAGGAAACTTTCCCACACTGGGAATCTGTGAGCACTGAGAGCCGGGGGTGCTGTGGCTCCAGCTGAGAACATTCAGTAATGAGTCTTTAGTGGCTCCTGTGAAGTCCTGGAAGCTGCTGCTGCTGCTGCTGCTACAGCATTGGGATCTGCAGAGTAAGACTGAGAAACATCCTGAGACACAGAACACAACATATCAATGTAGAAAAAAATTCACAGGGACCAGGAAGTCTCCTAACTCCTAGGAGACTCAGGAGCAAATGTAGAGAGATCTGAAGTGAAAGTCAGAACATTGGCTCTTGGCGGTTTCCTGGGCGCATGGATGAGCTTCTGAGGTTTTTAATTTGTCACTTTTTTGGTGTTTTGTTGGTTTATTTGGTTGGTTATTACCAATGCTGACAATACTCAGAGATTATTCCTGGATTTTTGCTAAGGACTCACTCCTGGCAGTCCTAGGAAACCATAACAGATGTCAGGGATGAAACCGGGTTGGATGGTTGAGAGGCAAAGACCCTACAAGCTGTACTATGGCTCCTACATCATTACTTGGTTTTATTGATTACTCGGGAGTAAAGCCGTTGCTCTTATGAAGTCCCCACCCAATCAGAAGAAGGTGAACTTAATCATGTGGCAAACAGAACTTTGAACTGCACCGTAGTTTCTCTTGCGATTTTAATCTGTTCGAGTGAATCTCCTTGTGGAGTCCACAGTAAATTGAAGGTACTGAGGAGACTGACAACAAAAATGTGAGTTTTTGGATGTAAAAGTGATAATATAAGATCAAGGTTTGATCAGTGACCTTAAGCTCGTTTGAGTGTGTGTGTGTCTGTGTGTGTGTGTGTGAGAAAGAGACAGAGAGACAGACAGACAGTCAGACATAAAGTCAGACAGACAGAGACAGAGACAGAGATAGAAATAGACCCACTGGAAGGTGTGATTTACTCTAGCTCCTTATTGGCATCCCTCCATCTAACACCAAGAGGCACAGTCTCTTACCTTGATAATATTCTGGGATGTGAACATATTTTTGAAAATATTTTTTGAAATAAATACTCTATATTATAACTTCTCTATCATTTGATTGTAATCTAACATTTTTGAAAAGCTAATTTTGATGCTATTGTATGGATAAATATGTTGCAAATAACTTAGTGTCTGTATATACTTGTCTTTGTCAACTTTTAAATTACCCGTAAGAATAAGGATTTCACTGATATACCAAGAGTAGCACATCACATTTGGTGCAGTGTAATTAGAAGGAAAACAATTTTGATAAAAATATTATTATGTTATTTATATAAGCACACACACTCAAACTCTATCAACATTTTAAAACATTTTTTATTTTATATAGTAGTTCATATATCTTATTATGTTTAATATTCGAACACCAATTCTAGCACCATTAAACCTTCTCACCACCATATTTCATGTGTTTCCATCCCAAACCCCAAACCCTGCCCCAAAGCAGAGCCAAAATATTATGATATTTTCCTCTAAGTTTGCTTGCCTCCTACTTTGAATCCCATCAAATGTGGTGTGGTACTCTTGGAGTATGGGCAAGGTGTGTCCTGTGAGTGTTACATGGCAGCTAATATGGCCACTTCGTCCAGGAAAAGGTTCACTCCTGAGTGAGGCTCAGCCAAAGAATCTACCAAAATTTAATTTAATCTCTAATTCAGGAACTTAATGTGTCCAAGATGAGATACAACAATTTTTACACACTTTTTTTAAGGTAAACTTTCAGATATCTTTTATTCAATTATTCATAATAAGCAATATAAAATAAATTATTTAGCATCTGCCTTTAGGGCAGTCATGGGTTTTGGTGATAAAAGTCAAACTATTGGTGGTGGGAAAGTGTAAAGGTGGTAGGATTGGTTTTGAAATATTGAATGTAATCAATTGCTGTGAACAACTCTGAAAATAAAAAAAAATTAAGGCCATTTTCTATGGGGCATGTCATATATTATTATTTGAGTTTTCACTTCTTTAAAAATTAATGATGTTGATTTTTTCACATGTATCTGGAACTGTGTTTGAGAAGTATTTACACAGAAGTTTGCCTATGTTAAAAACTATTTAGTCTTATGTCTTTGAGAAGCATTTGCACAGGAATTTTGCTCATTTTCTAAACCTCTTTACTGAAGTGGTATATTGCATTTATGATTTGCATATATCAAACATCTTTGTCTCAGAGATGAGACCAACTTGGTACTAATGAATACCTTTCTTGACACGTGGTTAGAGGCTATAATAAAAATATTATTGTTTGGTTCAACATAAAATAATTTAATTATAAGGTAAGAGAAAGAAAGGATAGCATGTTCAGAGACATTACTGGGTCTGCTTGAGCAAATCGATGAATAATGGGAGGACAATGCTACAGTGCAGTGAGCTTCCACAGAGAATAAAGACCCCTGAATGACTTTGGGAAGGGATCATACTTGAATATTATCCAAATGCCTTGCTTAAATTTCTATGTCAAAGTAAGCATTGTCAGGTGTTGTAATAAGGGAAAAGTTTTGAACCTCTGGTGGTTTCATTACATTGCCATTGCCTTTTTGACCATGATTTTTGGCTTTGAACTAGGGCTTATTTTTGACTCTTCATTCAGGTATCACTCCTAGAGGGGCAAACTTCTTTAATTCATTTTAATCATAACTGGTGAAGGCATTTGATTATGTGAACTTCTTCGAAGTCTTACAATGTGGGTTCATTTTTTCTGAATCTTCAGAAACTCTGATCTAGGACCTACTCTTTTTCTCCCCTCAAATTAATAATCCTTCTCTCAGATCAGGGGGTAGTAGAGAATGGACCTTTATTACATAACATTGTGACTCTGGATGGATTTCCCTGGCTTCATTGAACTGATATTATTGTTCTTTGGATGTAGAGGTAGATAGAACACAGAAAAGAATTTTCATTAGTCATATATGAATTGACTGAATCTTCTTCATTTTCAGCCCTAATTCCTAAGTGTTGCTTCTTAATTACAAGCAATTAATTGGAAACAAAGTATTTGTGATGGTTAGGTAATTGGTAAATTATTTTTAAAGCTGCGTAATATTCTTTCTGTTCATCCGTAAATTGTGTGAGGAATAACACCTGGCTTCTCTCTCTCTCAGATTTGATCTAGGAAAAAATTCTGTATTTGTGGTCCATTCTATTCTGCACTGCCAGTTAGATCAGCACTCACAGCAAATAATAAATGAAATGCCTCTCATTACAATGAGACACTAAAAGGTAAAGGTAAAGGTAAAGGCCCTCCCGTTGATCGTCGATTTGCTCGAGCGGGCCCAGTAACGTCTCCATTGGAGACTTTTCTGTTACTGTGTTTGGCATATCGAATACTCTCGGTAGCTTGCCGGGCTCTCCGAGAGGGGCGGAGGAATCGAACTCGGGTTGGCCATGTTGGCCGCTTGTAAGGCGAACGCCCTACCGCTGTGCTATCGCTCCAGCCCAATATTTTAAATTTAATATAATCTAAAATTAATGACAAGGAAATCCCTCCAGAGTGACAATGTTATGTAATAGCTACCTTAAAGGTCCATTCTCTAATCCCCCCTGATCTGAGGGAAGGATTAATAATTTGAGGGATACTAATACTTGGGATTCTACTACTGTATTCAACACCCAATTCATGCTTTCAAAGTGTCAATCCAATCAGGCTCAGGTGACATGTCTTTTCATCACTTAGAGAAAAATCCCATTTGCTTGATCCCAACCTTTAGATTAAATATTAAAGATTTCCAGGAAAAGCCATGGCCTCGGGCACAGCTAAGACCATGAGGGAGGAAGCCACCTGCCCCATCTGCCTGGACCTGATGACTGAGCCAGTGATGATAGACTGTGGGCACATCTACTCCCATTCTTGCATATTAGGAAATATTGAGAACCAGCAACAGAAGTCACCGACACAAGGAACCTTTGAGTGTCCTTTATGTAGGGCACAGTTTCAGAGGGAGGGCATCCGGCCCAGTAAGCAACTAGGAAACCTCATTGACACCACTAAGAAGATGGAGCAGGAGCATCTGTGTGAAAAACACGAAAAGAAGCTCAGCCTGTTCTGTAAAGATGATGGTCAGCTCATCTGCTGGTGCTGTGAGCGGACACCACAGCACAAAGGGCACACCACCATCCTTGCTGAAGTTGCATGTCAAGAGCACAAGGTGAGTAGTGTCCAGAGTGCTTCACCAAGAACCTATTCCTCTTCTGCATCCATTGACCTGAAATGATTTAGTCTGTTAATTCTCTTTTTTGAAATGCCATGAGATACACGGTTTCAAAGTTCTTCATGATTAGGTTTCAGTCATACGATGTTCCAACACCAATTGCTTTTGCTAGTGTACATTTGCTGCCACTAATTCACCAGCTTCCCTCCTGATGCCTTCCCACCACTCCACCCCTCCAAAGTCTGACTCTATGCAGATATTCTTCTATTAGGATATGAATTATTCACTTTATCCAAGTCCGTCACCATGTATCCTTGAAAGTGTAATAACTAAACAAGTTTTAAAGTCTGTGATCTCCCCTGAGATATATAATGAAGAGTTGCCCAATTAGTAAACCTTTAATCAATTTTTTCTTCAGAAAATATTTCAGGAAGTTTTGAAATACCTGAGGGGTCAAGAAGTCAAAAATAAGGAATGGCAAAGAAACATAAGAGAGCAAATTACAAAAATTCAGGTAAGAATTTGAATTCATTGACCTCAAATATGTTAGCTCTAAAGATTAGACATATGGAAACATTAGGCAAAACAAAAGGATGTTTTAATCTCATTTATCTACACTAAATAGACAAACCCCAAATTATTCCTTTTAATACTCCTAGTTGGCTACAAGTATGAGAATTGAACTCCTGCTTATTGACCATTCAACAGTAATCGAAGAGGGGTCCGAATACCAGTTAAGAGAAGCAGAATTAGTTGTCTCCTTCCTTAGATTCATCTTGACTGGTTCACAAACTCTAAACATCTCAAAGTATTTTCTTGTTTGAAGTGTAGATCTACCACTCAGAATTTACCACAATGCAGGGTCTTGCCTATCAATTTCCATGCTCTGAAAAGAATCATTGTGAGGAATAGGATATCTGCAGGTGGAATTCATATTTGAAAAAATGCTGAGGATGAGCAGAAAATGGTGCAGCAGCGTCTACAATTGCAAAATTAAGTCTATTTCTGCATTTACCAGACTGCTCAGAAGAGAAGCTCAGAGATTTTCTGGAACATTGATGTAATCCAAAAGCCCATACTCAAATTTAACAGGGCTTATAACGATGTCTTTTTGAACATCTGCCCTGATCTCTTCGTGTAAATTTTTAATTTTTTCTGACAGAGTATACTTCCTCCTCCCTCAATTTAACAGTCATGGGTGGCATAACAAAAGTTCCAAGTAGAATGTACAGAAACCCAAATCTGGAGAGAAACTTCCTGTTTCCTATAAGTTCTTTTAAATTGTACACGAATGAAACTACTATACTTTGATTTTTTTCATCTAAAAATAAATATTTCCCTGTGTTTGGAATATGCCTTCTTCACTGTAGTCTGAAAATCTGGATGAAAGAGATTTTATCAAGTGGAGCTTTAAGATATTGCACATGATACTATACATGGAGGAGCAATCTTATATATGGAGACTGGAGAATAAAGAACAGCAAATTCTGAAGAGACTGCAGGAGAATGAAGCCCAGCTGGAGATGCAAAGCCAGGAACTAAAAAAACGCATCCTGGAACTGGAGAGGAAATATCAGGGCTCAGCCCAGGAGTTACTGCAGGTGAGACTGTGCACGTGGAGAAATGGATGAAGGCATCAGTTCCTGGGCTTTCAGAGGAAATGGGGAAGAATTTGGACAACTGGCCTGCTGCCTTGTTTCTTAAAAGTGCACACAAGTGTGGAGAATTAAAATGAATATTTACTTTTACATACATATGCCTGTATAAGGGTGTCCTTTGTTAATCTGTAGAGTGTCATTTTGCAAATCACAAAAAGAGGCCCCTTGGATAGATATGGAAGTTCTAGGAAACCACAGGAGAACTTTGCTAGGAATCTGTTAGCCTCAGTGTAATTTGCTGAGATATCTGTTGTGAAATGATCTCCTTAAAGATATTCCTGTCAATACTTGGGGGCTAAAAACCTGTCACTAAAATGATTGATAAATTTTCCCTTTCATTTGTTCCTCTATCTTGTTCAAACAGATACTAGGGGCCCTGGTTTTAGCTATAGTAAGGATATAATAAGGATATTAACTGGCAGGCTACCTAAAGTAACCTGCCCACACGGCAGAGTCTGGCAAACTCCCCGTGGCGTACCCAATATGCCAAATACCAGTAATAATGATGGGTCTCAATCTCCTAACTCTGAAAGAGCCTTGAATATGGCACTTTTTAAAAAATCTCAGGGCTAGGACGAAGGAGACGTTACTGGGGCCTGCTCGAGGCAATCGACGAATAACAGGATGGTCGTGATCATGATTGTGAAGAATATTGCACACTGTGATAAGTGCCTGAAGATCCTTATTCTGTTTTCACAAAGGATGGAGGTGGCACAAAAAAACCTTTGACCTCAGTGCAAACCTGCTGCCACCACATAAGCGAGTCCATCTCCTGGGCTCTACATGAATTTGTCTGTAAGGAGCTTTGTGACAAACAGTGTCTACTCTGACCCTTTCAGAAGAAATTCGGTCGTTTATTGCAAAAAGTGCTTATTGAGCAAGTTTGAGACAATTCTTGATCTTCCTACAAACAGTTCACAGGTTATGTGGTTGTACAAGTAATAACTCCTCATGTTGCCAAAGTAAGAAACATACTCTGGTTGATCAGATACTGTCATGGTATTATCCGGGGCCAGTGTTTCTCTCAGACTTTGTGCATGTACTGATGAAGGTAAACAAGGGTGGAGAGTTTGAATATAAATGGTCTATCACTGGGCTTATAACTGCTATTCTGTGGAATGATATGCAGACAGGTGTTGAATCAAAGGAGTTAAAAGGCTGAAGAATGCTGTGCTAGTAAACTGGGTTGGGAATAGTGCCCTGGGAATTCATTAATTCATAGAAGTAGAATGATTGCATTTACTCCTTGATATAATTATAGAGAAATATCCACCCAACAAAGTTCTATGAAATGCTAATTTTCCATACCAACATCTATCTTTCTTGCTGAATAGGATGTGGGAGACACTTTAGACAGGTGAGTGCTCTTTGAATTCAGGAGGGAAGGAGAGTAGCTCTATGGAATCCAATGGAATATCGCTCTGATGAAATTTCTGGACTCTTCTTCCCTAGAATTTCTGCTATGGTGTTAAATGAACCGGAGGATGTCTCATTGGATATTCACACTATTTCTAAATTTTATGGCGTTTCCTATCAATTGAAAAAAATGTTTGAGACTGATCATGGTATGTCACATCCAAAATTCCAAAAATATTGCAGGTGGCAGGAATACTGGGCAACATACTTTGTTGCTCTTCCCTGGGCAGGTTCTAGATAGAATATTGTTTTTCTTGATTGTTCTTCAGCTCTTTCTTTCCAATTCTCTAGTGATGTCTTCCAGGTAAATAACCTCTATATCTGTCCTATATTAAAAATAATAATAACACTTCACCCTTAGTTCACTGTGCCAAATTTTAAATAATCATCTATTACACAATACATAGAGAAAGGAGTTTAGGATAATAATGATTATGTTTATGTCATTCAATTCCCAGACAACTGTAGAAAGGTAAGTGAAGACTGACTGTGCTGCCAGTGGTTTTAGGGCTAGACTAGGTAACACAATAAATGTTTGAACCATTTGAAAAACAATTGCTACCTAGTCAAAAACTTGCTGCTTGTTTCTACATTATTATTTTCATGATTGTTTTATTTCCATAGTAACCTACAATTAAATTTTCCTTAAAAATTCTGAAAACAAATAGATTTTTATGATTTGTTAGACTATAAAATAAGAACAGTGACACTGTCACTCTCCTCCCGTTATTCATCTATTAGCTCAAGCGGGCCCACTAATGTCTCCATTGTGACAATTGTTACTGCGTTTGGCATATTGAATACGTCATGGGTAGCTTGCCAGGCTTTGCCCTGTGGGAGAGATACTCTCGCTAGCTTTCCAGGTTCTCGGAGAGGGCGGAGGAATCAAACTCAGGTCGATCATGTTGGCCGCTTGCAAGGCAAATACACTACCCACTGTGCTATCGCTCCAGCTCATAAAATAAGAATCACTCTGAAAAATTGTGTTTTTAATTTAATCAAAATGTAGTCGTTACAAATAATGCAGTGTCAGTCCTGAACATAGTATCACAATTCGAGTGTTTGCCTTGTATGCAACCAACCCGGGCAAGATCTCTGGCATCTGATATGGTCCGTGAGTTTTCTAGGTTTGGTCACTAAGTGCAGAGCTAGGAGTAAGTCCTGAGCACAGTCAGATGAGGCATCAACCTCCTCCCTTCCCCAAATGAAAACACAGTATCTCACAAATTTCAGTAAAATGACCACAGCTCAGCAGAATAGAACTGGAGTCTAACAAATTTTCAATAAACATGACTGCGGGGTCAGACTTTCATCTGGAAACTAACACAATCCACTTCCAAGCACTTTCTGATTGTTGGTAGAGTTCACTTCTTGATGCATGTAGGACTTCGGGCACTAGCTCTTTTCTAGTTGCAGATTCCAGGCTGGATGCCTCCCTATGTTTCCTGAAGAAAACTCTCAAATGTTTGTGCATGAGAGTCCCTACATGGCCAATTGTTTCTTCAAAGTGAGCTCAAAAAGCAATAGTCTTTAGGATGAATCTTTAACACTGCTACAATAAACTATAATAAAAAACATGAAACCCATTATTTTTACTATATAAGTTCACTGTAAATTGTAAATGATAGGTCTCTGACCCTGAAAGTTATTATACAAAGTTTGAAACAGAGGGGGATTATTTACAGTCATGATTGATCTGAGAGCCTCAGTGACCAAAACTAAATTGCTCTGATTGGACAGTATTTATTTATTTCACTTAGTTTAGTTGTAGGTGTGCTGATGGAATGAGCACTGATTTATCACTGGGTGTGTCCACATGCTTAGAGTTAGAGACATTGCTTTGCATTGATGACAAGAAAAACTATTCTGAATTCAGATAGGCTTCACTCCACATGTTTCACGAAAGAAAATTTCATATTTCTATACTCTAAGAGCATTATGGAACAACTGGGATGGTGATGTAAGCAATTGCTATTTAGGTGAGGTAAAGCTTCTTATAAGTCAGATCTCCTCACCTACAAAATGAGTTGCATCCTGTTAAGAGTGTCTCTGCAGATACCGTTGTTCTCCATTACTTTAACCATTGTTGAATCAGATCTCTTGGTGACAACATTGTACCCTTTCTCTAGCTGAGATGAAACCATTCTATTATTTTCATTGTACATTATCATTTTGTTTTAAATATTGATTTTTTTCTAAAATAGATTATTTTTTTCCACTTCTGGCTGTGAATTCAGGGATCACTGCTGGAGGAGTTCAGGAACCCTTTTGAGATTCAGGGATTAAATCCAGGTCATCCACTTGCAAAAGCATCCTAATCACTGTACTATACCTACAGTACTGGTTATAAATATTTATATAATACTTATAGAAGTAAAATATTTGATGTACTACTTCAATTATTGTGCTTACATATTTATTCTGTGCATTTTACTTATTTTTAAGATTCTATGTTACTCATTGTTATTTTGAGTGCTGTCAATTATAGGATTGCAAGTTTTCAACATTTCACATCTACACCCTCCACCAAAATGTCCATTTCCTCCACCATTCCCTGCTTTACCATAGTACTGTCTTAAAACACCATATGTCCATATTTCCACCAAGGTAAGCGTGGTATGTAGCTCAGTTCACAGATTTAGTTATTTTTGCCCATTTTATATTATTTCCTTACAAAGTTTCTTTATATCCCATAAATGAGAGGTATTATTCTGTCTGTCTTACACTTTCTACTGACTTCACTCTATGAAAATTGTATATTTAACTCTTATAACTGAGTAGTATTTTCATGTGTATATACACATTACTTTCTTTATCAGTTATCTGATCTTGGAAACGGGTTGTTTTCATTACTGTTATTACTGCTGTAATGAACATAGGAGTGCAGATGAATTTTTCAATAGAAATTTGGGGACTCTTGAGGTAGATGCCCAGAAGTGTAATGACTGTGCCATATAAAAACTCAATTTTATTTTTGAATATTTTTCCATTTACTAAAAAGGTTACTGTTACTGTGTTTGGCATATCGAATACTCTCGGTGAACCAAGCATGTTGCCCAGCAACAGTGATTGAAGCTTTTTTTGTCCACATCAGACCAATAGTGCTGTTTTTTCTCACAGGTGTGAAATAATATTTCATTGCTATTTTGATATGAATTTTCCTGATAGTATATGATGGAGAACATTTTTGATATCCTTATTGGCTATCTGCATGTCTTCAATGAGGAAGAATCTGTACCTTTGTTTGTCCCCCTTTTTTGGTTTTCTTTCTTTTTTTTCTTTTTTCTTTTTCACTTTTTAGCTTTTTTAAAATTTTATTGAATCACCGTGAGATAATTACAAGCTTTCATGCTTGGGTTACAATTACTCAATGATCAATCTCTTCTCCTTCCATCGGAGCACATTACCCACCACCAATATTCCCGGTATACCCACCTACCCTCACCCTTTCCCACCCACCCCCTGCATCCATGGCTTAAAATAATCCCCATAGTCTTTCTCTGCTTTGGGGTATTATGGTTTGCAGTACAGAGACTGAGAAGTTATCATTTTTGGTCCTTTATCTACTTTCAGTACACATCTCCCATCCTGACCAGTTTCTCAAGCCATCATTTTCTTTTAAACTTTTATTAGTGAAACACAATGAGGTACAGTTGTAGACGTACAAATATTTGTGCTTGGATTTCAGTTATACAATGATTGAGTACACATCCCTCACCAGTGCTCATTCTCCACCACCACTGATGAGTATCCCTCCAATCCCCCTTCCCCACTCCCACCCCACATCTGTGGCAGGGCATTCCCTTTTGTTCTCTCTCTCCTTTTGGGTGCTGTGGTTTGCAAAAGAGGCATTGAGTGCCAATCATGTTCGAACTATAGTGTACTTTCAGTATGCATCTCTCATCCTGGGAGGATCCTCCCAACACCCTTTACTTGGTACTCCCTTCTCTATCTGAGCTGCCTTTTCCCCTAGCATGTGTGGCTGGCCTCCGAGCTATGGAGTGAACCTCTTGGTACTTATTTCAGCTATTCTTGGATGTTAGTCTCCTATTTTGTTACTTTATATTTCCCAGATGAATGCAATCTTTCTATGTCCGTCACTCTCTTTCTGACTCATTTTGCTTATCATGATACTTTTCATGTAGTACCACATTATCACACTCAGCTCCTGGGAGAGAACAAGGCAGAGTCTCCTACCCTGTGCCTGACTGTCTCCACCAGGGCCCAACAGCTGAAGACCACCGGGGCCCAGCCAAGGCCATGCTGGGACCACTCTCCACACACTTGGATGAGGCTCACGCATAAAAGAACTGGCAGAGGAACCCAGGTGTGTGGGACCCGGGGCTGAGATCTCCAAGCCTGCATGGTTTGGGACTGGACCTGCCAGTAACTAGACAGTTACACCCACCAACTGCCGTGTAACTCCAACAACGGCCAGGATCCAGAGATTATCACACTCAGCTCCCGGAAGCGACATCTTATCATCTCATTCCTACTTTGGACAAACTGGCAGGCTACCAAATGTAACCTGCCCACATGGCAGAGTCTGGCAAACTCCCCGTGGTATACCCAATATGCCAAATACCAGTAACAATGATGGGTCTCATTCTCCTAACCCTGAAAAAGCCTTGAATATGGCACTTTAAAAAAAAAAATCTTAGGGCTAGGACGAAGAAGACGTTACTGGCACCTGCTCGAGGCAATTGACGAACAACAGGGTGGTTGTGATCGTGATCGTGACCACTTAGCATGATACTTTTCATGTAGTACCACTTGTATGTAAATTTCATGACTTCATCTTTTCTAACAGCTGCATAGTACTCCATTGTGTAGATGTATCAAAGTTTCTTTAACCCGTTCTCGGGCACTCGAGTTTTTTCCAGATTTTGACTATTTTGAACAGTGCAGCAATGAACATAGAAATGCAGATGTCATTTCGACTGTACTTTTTTTTTTTGCTTCTCTCGGATGTATTCCCAGGAGTGGTCAAATGGGAGCTCAGTTTCTAATTTTTTGAGAGTTGTCCATACTGTTTTCCAAAAGGACTGAACCAGTCGGCATTCCCACCAGCAGTGAATGCGGGTCCCTTTCTAGCCACATTCGCACCAACACTGGTTGCTTTTGTTCTTTTGGATGTGGGTCAGTATCTGTGGTGTGAGATGATATCTTATTGTTGTTATGATGTGCATCTCTCTGATAATTAGTATTGTGGAGCATTTTCTCATGTGCCTTTTAGCCACTTGGATTTCTTCCTTGGGAAAGTTTCTGTTCATTTGATCACCCCATTTTTTGATGGGGTTAGATGTTTTCTTCTTGTAGAGTTTAACCAGTGCTTTGTATATCCTTGATATCAAACCTTTATCAGGTAAATATCCTTTCCCATTCTGTAGATTGTCTTTGTATTCTGGTCACTGTATACTTTGAGGTACAGAAGCTTCTTAATTTAAGATAGTCCCATTTGTTTATCTCCGTTTCCACTTTGTTGGTCTGTGGAGTGTTGTCTTTGAAGATACCGTTAGCCTCAATATCGTGAAGGGTTTTGCGGACCTTGTCTTCAATGTACCTTATGGATTTTGGCCTGATGTTGAGATCTTTTATCCATTTTGATCTGACTTTTGTGCATGGTATTAAGTCAAGGTCTAAGCCCATTTTTTTTCATGTGGTTGTCCAGTTATGCCAGCACCATTTGTTGAAAAAGCTTTCCTTGTTCCACTTCACATAACTTGCTTCATATCAAAGATTAGATGTTCATATATTTGGGGTTGTGTGTACTGATTTTCCACCATGTTCTGTTTGTCTGTGGCCCTGCCTTTGTTCCAGTACAATGCTGCTTTAATTATTACCGCATTGTAGTAAAGTTTGAGGTTGGGGATGCCAATGCCTCCCCATGTCTTTTCCCCAAGAATTGCTTTAGCTATTCATGGGTTTTTGATGTTCCATATGAATTTCAGGAGTATTTGATCTATTTCTTTAAAGAATTTCATGAGTATCCTCATTGGGATCGCATTGATTCTGTATAAGCTTTGGTGAATATTGCCATTTTGACGATGTTGATTCTTCTTACCCATGAGCAGAGGATATGGTTCTATTTCCTCGTGTCCTCTTTTATTTCATGGTGTAGCGTTGTGTAGTTTTCACTATAGAAGCCCTTTACCTCTTAGGTTAGGCTGATTCCAAGGTATTTGATTTTCTGGGGCACAATTGTGAATGGCTTTATGTTTTTCATGTCACTTTCCTCTCTCTCATTATTTGCATATAGGAAGGCCATGGGATTTTGGGCGTTCATTTTATAGCCTGCACTTTACTGTACAAGTCTATTGTTTCTAGGAGTTTTTTGGTGGAGGATTTAAGATTCCCGAGATATAAGTATGATATCATCTGAGAATAATGAGAGCTTGATTTCTTCCTTTCCTATATGGATGCCCTTAATGTCTTTTTCTTGCCTAATCGCTATTGCAGTTACTTCCAGTACAATGTTAAACAGAAGTGGCGATAGTGGGCATCCTTGTATTGTCCCTGATCTTAGAGGAAAGGCCCTTAGTTTTTCCCCATTGAGGATAATACTTGCCATGGGTTTGTCATAGATGGCTTTGACTATCTTGAGGAAACTTCCTTCAAAAACCCATTTTGGTGAGGGTTTTCACGATAAACAGGTGCTGAATCTTGTCAAAAGCTTTCTCTGCATCTATTGATATGATCATATGGTTTTTATCTTTACTTTTGCTGATATGATGGATTATGTTGATTGATTTCCGAATGTTAGACCATCCTTGCATCCCCTGGATGAATCCCACTGGTCGTGCTGTATGATATTTTTGATGAGTTGTTGGATTCTATTTGCTAATATTTTGTTGAGGATCTTCGCATCCATGATCATCAGAGATATTGACCTATAGTTTTATTTGTTGGTGGTGTCTATGATATATGTGCCTCATAGAAGCTGTTTGGGAGAGTTCCTGTTTTTTCAATTTTTCAATTTCCTGGTAAAGCTTGAGGAGAACTGGCAACAAGTCTTCTTTAAATGTTTGGAAGATTCATTAGTGAACCCATCTGGGTCCGGGCTTTTGTTTTTGGGAAGACTTTTGATTATGGTTTCAATTTCCTTGATATGAATGGGTCTATTCAGGTATCCCAAGTCTTCTTGGTTCAATCTTGGGAGATGATAGGAATCCAGGATTTTATCCATTTCTTCTAAGTTTTTTTGTTTCGTGGCATACAGACTCTCAAAGAAGTCTCTTATGATCTTTTGAATTTCAATGGTTTCTGTTGTGATGTCCCCTTTTTCATTTCTGATTCAGTTTTTTAGCGTTTTTTCTCTTTCTTTGTGAGTCTTGCTAGTGGTTTATAAATCATGGTTTTTTTTTTCTCAAAGAACCAATTCTTGGTTGCATTGACCTTTCGGATTGTTTTTTTTTGGTTTCCATGTAGCTAGCTTGTGCTCTAAGTTTTATTATTTCTTTCATTTGGCCAAGTTTCATTTCTTTTGTTGGTCTTTTGCTAAGATCTTGAGCTGTGAGGTCAAGTTATCTACGTAGCCTTTTCTTCCTTCCTTAGGAATGCTTGCAAAGCTATAAATTCTCCTCTTAACACGGATTTAACTGTTTCCCATAGGTTCTGGTAACTTGTGTCTTCATTCTCATTTGTTTCCAGGTATCTTTTTATTTCGACCCTGTATTCCTTCCTGATCCTCTCGTTGTTCAACATTGACCATTTGGGGGTATATTTATTCTTGGTACATGATCTTGTACTAATCCTTATGGTTCACGCGAAATCAAAGAGTATACTTAAAGTTGCTGAGTAGATACTTTAAGTTACTGAGTGCCCATGTGTCCTAAGGCCCCAATGAAATCTTGTGTGCCAATAACCATGATTTTAAATAACTGTCTTTCCCCATTCTGATACTGTGTCAGTGTAATTTGGAAATATTGGTAGGGGTTAGGAGAAGAGAGTAAGGAAAAATATCAAATATAGTCATCTGTTCTTTTGCTGGTATTACTGTGAGAAAGACAGAAATAATATTGACTAAGAACAGAAGAGTACTTACAGCCTTAGAAGGATATTGCTGATATTACCACATATTTCACAATGGCACTTAATGATAGTTCTACCTAGTTTCAATCATATATTAGCTTTCCAATCTTCCCCACCATTCTTTGTGACAGACATTATTTCTATTTTACTTTTTATAATGACTTTTGATAAAATGACTATAAAGGCTGTCAGAAACAAATTTTTCTTTTAAGCATTGGCTGATCATATTTGGAATATACTGAGTACTAAGTATGAAGTAATATGTCATTTTGTTTTCTATGGTTTTTAATTAATTTATTTTTTGCAGTTAAAGTTACTATAGATCCAGATACAGCTCACAATAACCTACTTGTGAATGAGGATGATAAAATGGTGACTGGTGGATCACCCCAACTGAAGCATGAGACTCCTGCTAGGTTTAAAGACTTGCCCTGTGTCCTGGGAAATGAGACCTTCACTTCTGGAAAATATTACTTTGAAATATGTTTTCAAGAAGGATCTGAGTGTGATGTCGGAGTTTGTCTGGAAAATGTACCAAGAGAAAATGACATGAGACGGGATCCTGAGTCTGGATTCTGGGCCATCAGATATTCCAAAGATGTTGACTATGTAGCTCTTACATCTCCCCTAACTCCTTTAAATCTGCAGAATGTTCACAGTATAGGGGTTTTTGTTGACTACGAGGTTGGACTTGTCTCCTTTTATGACTTGGCAACTACCTCCCACATCTTCACTTTTCCAAAGACCTCTTTCTCTGAACCCATAAGGCCTTATTTCTGTATTGGTGAAGATTCTGATCTGTACACATAGTCAGCATACTTTTTAAAAAAATTGTAAAAAGAGGTTTGTGAGATTTGTTAAAAAAAATGCACAATATCCTTACCCCAGTATTCAGTTCAAAGGAAAAGGATTCAAATTTTATGACTGTAGAAATTGTGGTTGCTTTCTTCAGTTTTTCCCATACCTAGCCAGATGCTGAGCTTAGTGTATATCTAATGATTGGCATTAAATGAATGATTATAAAGACTCTAATCAAGTAGCACATACAATTGTTCTCTCTAAAGCACCAATGATTTAGAGGGAAGTTACTTAGTTACAAAGAACATACACTGTCCTGTTTTCCTCTTTTCAGTGGATTCAATTTTATGAAATTAACATTGACCTAGGTCAAGTCCCACCAGTGATTTCTTCTTAGTTAACAAAAACCTTTCCATTGAGCATGAAAGTGCTGAAACTATTACCATTCAATGTCCCTTGCAATGTCTTGTGCAAATGTTGGGAAAATACAGTCAGAACTAAAAACCCATTTAATCCCAGATCCTCGGACAGGTTTATATGTCACACAAGAGTAAATACAAACTCGGGTAAAAAAATAAAGATTATAGAATTTTATAGAGACAGTATTCACTTAAGAACAAAGTATAGAGATTGCACTCACTTGTGGAATATAAGCAAGACATAGTATGCGACTAATACCCAAGTACAGGAGAAATGAGGGCCAGGGTAATAATGTATGGTTGGAAATTGCCATGAGTGTGTGTGGGATTGTGGTGTTTGGGGAGCTGGGAGGATGTTAGGACAGAGAAGAGACCACTGTGAGAGTTGGAGATGTTCACTCTGGACACAAAAAAGTACTGATAACCTTTAAGTATCGTTATTGTAAACAATAAGGCCCAAAAGGAAAGAGAGAGGAAAACTGAGAGAGAGAGAGAGAGAGAGAGAGAAACAGTAAAAGTGACTGCTGTCGAGGAAAGCTGGGTGGAGGGGCAATGGCCGTATGGCAGGATGAAAACTTGGGCACACTGGAGGTACGAAATGTGCACTGGTGAAGGTCCAGGAGTTGGGACATTGTATGACTGACACCAATCATGAATAATTTTATAACTGTGTATCTTAAGGTCATTCAACAAAAAAGAAAAGAGTCATAGTGTACATGTATGCTAAGAATGAATATCTCTGTTCCTAAGAAAGACAATTTGATCAAAGTAACTGTACACAATCTGAATCAAAGTGGAGCATTAAAGTAGAAAAAATTATTTGTATTCAATTTCTAATTTTTATGGTTGTGTATTCACAATGTGGGCTGATGACTATTCCAGTGGCCAAAAGAGCCACTTCCCAGGTCTCCACAACAGAACAACAAAAATACAGGGGACCACAGACTGATGTAAATTTATGCACAGTAAAATGTAAATTCACAGGGAAGATAGAAAAGCAAGTCATTCACTACCAGAACAAAGTCCAGAATCACCAGAAGTTTTCACTTAGTTACTAACACAAAGGAAAGGTTAAAGAGAAACTCAGGAGATTAAAGGTGTTCACAGGAGCATTGTCTTCTTCTCTGGAGGTGGAAATTGGGCAATTCCTTGATGAAGCCTAAAACACTGAGGATTAAAATCCAACAGTTACAGAAATTGGGTGAATTAATAAGGATCAGAGTTGTAGATGAAGAATATTTTTTTTGACAGGGCTGGGGTAGGGTTGGGCCCACATGCAACTGTGTTCCTGGTTCTACCTCAGGGATCAACCTGTCATTGATTGGGGACACATATGTGGGACTGGGTTCCACATGCTGCTGGGCTGCATAGAGGGCAGTCACTGACCTACTGTACCCGGTGACTGTTCAACCTTCAATGTAGCCTTGGTCTCAAGGATCACACTGGCTGACCTAGAAAATTTCGTGTCTCATGTGGAAGTGTAAACTGAGCCTTTCTCTCAGCCAAGATGTTGGGAATGGCAGGGGGGTCCAGCAAAGACACCAACCTGCTTTGTCTCTTCCCAACTTACTCTGTCAACTTAAAGAAAGCTCTTCTGCATTTGACATAAAAGAATAAACTGGAATTATTTTAGAATTTTCAGGACTGCCAAAAAGAAGGAGACAGAGTTCTTTTCCTGCACTCTGTCAGGCCTAGTTGAAGGATCAAAGAGAAAGGTTCTCTCCTGAAACGCTTCTAAATGTTTTCAATCTTTATCCCTTCCCATGCCCATTATTTGTCTGTCCATCGATTGGCAAGTTTTAAAATTATTTTCTAAAATAATAAAACTATTTTCTAAATGAATTGCATGTCATGGTGCCTCTCTCTTTCTCCCTCCACCCTCCCCACTGTATCACGGTATCACTATCAACTCATTGTTCGATTGCCTTGTGCAGGCACCAGTAACGTCTCCATTGGTCTTAGCCCAGAGATTTTAGCAAGTGCCACATTGGAGGCTCTTTCATCGCCAAGGGAATGAAACCCATCATTGTCACTGGATTTTGGCATATATATAATATGCCATGGGGAGCTTGCCAGACTCTGCCGTGTGGGCAGGGTACTCTCAGTAGCCTGCTGGGTTTTCTGAGAGCAAGAACTAGACACTTCTGGGAGCTGGGTTTTATAGTCTCTGGGTTTTGACCATTGATGAGATTACTTCACTCACTGGGGGCAGTTGGTGGTTGTAAGCCTAGCTACTGGAAGGAGGGGAAACTGGGTGGAGGAGGCCTAGTGCCAATCCGAGAAGGCTTGGAGATCTCAGCCCTGGGTCCCACATACCTGGGTTCCTCTGCCAGTTATTTCATGCATGAGGCTCATCTGAGAGTGTGGAGAGTTGTATTCAACATGGCTCTTGCTGGATTTCAGAGGTCTTCAGCTGCTGGGGCTCTGCTAGGGGTGGGGAGGGTAACTCAACCCATCCCCGTCCAAGGGGCCCCGGTGAGGATGACCAGGTGTGGGGGCAGAAGATTCTGCATTGTTCTCTTCTGGGAGCTTGGTTTCATAGTCTCTGGGGCTTGGCCGGGGCTGAGATCTCCAAGCCTGCTCAGATGGGAACTGGGCCTCCTCCACCCAGATATCCCATCTTCTAGTAGCCAGGCATCACACCCACCAATTGCCCCTGGCATCCGTGTAATCCCATCAACCTGCCCCACAGCAACAGGGTATTCAGTAAGGGAGAGAGAGTTTTCATCATAAACGGGTGTTGGATCTTATCAAATTATTTCTCTGAGTTTATTGATATGAAAATGTGGTTTTTTATTTATTTTTGTTGATTTGATGGATTATCTTGACTGACTTCCGAATGTTAAACCATCCTTGCATCGCCGTGATGAATCCCATTTGTTCGTGGTGTATGATCTTTTTGAAGGGTTGTTGGATTCTATTTGCTAATATTTTGTTCATGATCTTCACATTCGTGTTCATCAGGGGTATTTGCCTATAGTTTTCTTTGTTAGTGGTGTCTTTGTTCGCTTTTAGTATTAGGAAGATGTGTGCCTCATAGAACTGTTTGGGAGAGTTCCCTTTTTTTCAATTGCCTGGTAAAGCTTGAGGAGAACTGGCAACAGGTCTTCTTTATTTTTTTCTCTTTTTTTGTAGGAGTACTGCTATTTATTCAGCCACTGATTAGCTGATTGAATTGTGCATGAACTCCACCTTACTTTTTTTTTTCTTTTTTCATTTTTTTATAATTTTATTTATTGAATCACCATGAGAGCAGTTACAAAGCTTTTGGGTCTAAGTCTCAGTCATACAATGAAACACCCATACCTTCACCAGTGCCCATTCTCCACCACCAAAAATCCCAGTATACCCCCATCCCACACCCTCCCCCTGCCTGTGGGGCAGATGATTTCCACATTACTCTCTCTCTACTTTGATCACATTCACCATTTCGACACCAGACCCACCATTATTTAAGATTTTACCCCAACACTCAGATCTGCTGAAAAGGCAACAATAGACAATTTGTGTTCTATTGCTGGTTATGAATAACATATGATGTCGTGTGGCTGCAGTAGGGCCATGTGGTTTTGAAATTCTGAAATTTTAACACTTAAATCTGGAGGGATTTCTGCCAAAAGCCACTGGGTATAGAGATCTGCTCCTGAGTCTCTGGGATCATGGCCGTTGAGCAGCTTGATGAGGAGCCAAAGAGGCCGTTCGTGGGCGATGACTTGTGGTCTCATTGGGGTGGGGAAGACAGGCCAGACTCCACCTCCCTCCCCATCCCGTGAGACCCAATAAGTTTTGTCACTGCGGACCCAAGCCTGACTGTCCAATGGCCTCTGGAGGATGACAGCCACCAAGTCACCAAGAGGGAGCAGGCGGAGGGACAGCACCCATTTCCCCCTGGGGTGGCCCGGCAACAGTAACCTACTGTGGGGTCTGGGCACATTTCTGACAAAAGCTGCTGGGTTTCGAGATTTGTTTCTGAGTCTCTGGGATCAAGGCCGTTGAGCAGCTTGATGAGGAGCCAGAGAGGCCGTTTGTGGGCGATGACTTGGGGTCTCATTAGGGTGGGGAGGGCAGGCCCGGCTCCACCCCCCCATCCCGTGAGACCCAACAAGTTTCGTCACTGCGGGCCCAAGCCTGACTGTCCAATGGCCTCTGGAGGATGACAGCCACCAAGTCGCCAAAAGGGAGCAGGCGGAGGGACAACACCCTTTCCTTCCTGGGGTGGCCCGGCGACAGTCACGTACTGTGGAGTACGGATGCATTTCTGCCAAACGCCACTGGGTTTTGAGATTTGTTTCTGAGTCTCTGGGATCATGACCGTTAAGCAGCTTGATCAGGAGCCAGAGAGGCCATTCGTGGGCGATGACTTGGAGTCTCATTGGGGTGGGGAGGACAAGCCCGGCTCCACCCTTATTCCGTGAGGCCCTGTGTGTCTCGTCACTGGGGGCCCAAATGTGACGACTATCCAGTGGCCTCAGATGGATGGCGGCCACTGGGCCGCCAGGGGGAATAGGCCAAGGCACGAAACCTATTCCCACCTGGGTTGGCCCAGCACCGGTAGCCTACTGCAGAGACCAGATACATTTCTACCTAAAGCCA